TCCCTGGACTAATTTTCAGAGTGAATTGAGGAGAAAACCAGTACTAGTCTCTCCAACTCTTGGGTAACAAAACAAACAAACAAAAACAGTTCTACCTTCTCCTCTATGTTTCTCCTTTACTTTTACACAGAACACTTAACTTTTGACACTTCTGGTCACCAAATGTGGAGGGATTCCGCACAAGGAATTCTCCGCAATGCCGGCTGAGGGTGCTGCAACTCAAGTCACTTCTAACACTGTCTACCTGGAGACAGATCACGGGCTCATTCCCACAAAACTGTCCCCACCCTACTTCAGATGTGGACGGCAAGGTCACTCATCACTTCTGTCCTACTTGGCTACAGATAGGAGGTTCCCATGACCCCCCCCCCCAACCTTGGGTTCAATTCATTTACTAGAAGGGCTCACAGAACTCAAGGAAACACTTATTTTTTTTTTTTAAATGTTTTTTATTTATTTCTAGGAGAGAGAGAGAGACAGCATGAGCAGGGGAGGGTCAGAGAGAGAGGGAGTCACAGACTGAAACAGGATCCAGGCTCAGAGCTGGCAGTCAGCACAGAGCCAGACAAGGGGCAAGAACCCACAAACCGCGAGATCATGACCAAAGCGAAAGTCGGACGCTTAACCGACTAAGCCACCCAGGCGCCCCTCAAGGAAACACTTATATTTATCAGTTTTTAAAAAGATACAGAGGCGCCTGGGTGGCTTGGTCTGTTAAGCCTCCGACTCTTGATTTTGGCTCAAGTCACGATCTCTCGGCTTGTGAGATCGAGCCCCACATGGGGCTCTGTGCTTGGGATTCTCTCTCCCTCTCTCTGCCCCTCACCTGCTCCCTGTTGCGTGTGTGCTCCCTGTCTCAAAATAAATAAATAAACTTTATGGATGAATAAAGGATACGAATGGACAACCAGGTGAAGAGATACGTAGGGTGCAGGGCTTCTGCGCCCACGGGGTTGGGTGCATCACCCTCCCAGTCTGGAGGAGTTCACTGCCCTGGAAGCTCTTAAACCCCTACGGCTGGGGTTTTATGGAGGCTTCCACAGAGGCAGGACCAATTATTAACTCTATTTCCATCCCCTCTGCCCTCTCTACAGAAGCAGAGGATGGGGCAGAGCTGAAAATTCCAAGCGTCTAATCATGACTTGGTATATCTTTTGGTGACCAGCCTCCAGCCAGGAGCCATTCCGAAGCCTACTTAGAGTTGCTTCAGTAGAACAAAAGATGCTCCTAGTGCTTTATCACTTAGGAATTTACCAGGGTTTTAGGAACTATGTGCCAGGAACCAGGGGTAGAAGTCAATATATTTTATGAACACACACACACACACACACACACACGCACAGACGGACAGAAGGAGGGTGGGAGAAAGAGAATGAACACCTTCCCTCCTTCTCTTTATTTGGCCAATCTCCTATCGATGTACCTTTATTTTCAGTACTGGAGTCTGTTCCAGAGGCGTCTGCTTTCTCATCTGCAGGAGAGGTAAGATGGTCCTAAAGGCTGTCGAGGAAAACCACAAACCAGTATTGGAAAACTGCGGCCCCAGGGGCACACCCAGCCGCCCTCACAACTCCTCCCCCGTCCCTCTAGTTGATCCAGGACAGGGTATTCCTGACCTGCTAGAACCGTCCTCACATTGCCAGCATTCCTGCATTGGACCTAAAGGTGAAGAATGTCAGCTCGCGCCACTCCCCCTCCAGCACGGTGCCACTAAGCTCTGCCTTGACCAAGGAGCTGTCCTTCCGTTTATCTGAATCAGATAAGATGGTTCGCTATGATTTCGTTTGGTTCTTACAGCAGCCTGAGCTCTGCTAACATTTGTGGGGCGCACGCAGGACTCTAAGACTCAACTTTTCCCAAGTGGCACAAGGCAGTCTTCTGCGTTTTCTGCCTGAAGAATAAAGAGAGCATATTGCTATTTCTTTGTATGTTAAGCTGACATACTTTCCTAGGTTTCATGTTCCAATTTTTTTTTTTTTTTAAGATTTTTAAGTAGGGACACCTGAGGCGCTCAGGGAGTTGACTGTCCAACTCTTGATTTCAGCTCAGGTCAAAAATTCACATCGGTGCTCACATGTCAAGAGTGCAAAACACTGCTACCTATTTCATACCCTTAGGGTGTTGATTTCTAGGGCAGTGCCTGTCCTTTCATAATGTTCTCTGATAGAATATCATAGAATAAGCACTGATAGAACAGTGACCGCTTAGCTTTTCTCTTCTTTTTTTAAAAAAAATAGACTTTTTAAAAAAATTTTTTTAATGTTTTATTTATTTCTAGGAGAGAGAGAGACAGCGTGAGCAGGGGAGGGTCAGAGAGAGAGGGAGTCACAGACTGAAACAGGCTCCAGGCTCTGAGCTGGCAGTCAGCACAGAGCCCGACGCGGGGCTCGAGCCCACGAACCGTGAGATCGTGACCTAAGCGAAAGTCGGACGCTTAACCGACTAAGCCACCCAGGCGCCCCATAAAAAAAAAATAGACTTTAAAGTCACAGCATAATTGGGGCACCTGGGTGGCTTAGTCGGTAAAGCTCCGACTTCCGCTCAGGTCATGATCTCACGGTTCGTGGGTTCGAGCCCCGCGTTGGATTCTGTGCTGACGGCTCGAGCCTGAGAGCCTGCTTTGGATTCTGTGTCTCCCTCTCTCGCCGCCCCTCCCCCCCGTTCATGCTCTGCCTCCGTCTCTCTCAAAAATAAACAAACATTAAAAAAAATTTTTTTTAATCATAGCATAATTAAGAGGAAGGTAGAGGGATTTCCATCCATCTCCTGCCCCCACGCATGCAAAGCTTCCCCCATGATCAACCTCCCCACCAATGTGGTACCTTTGTTACAACTGATGAACCCTCACTGCCTTGTAATTATCACCCCGAGTCCATAGTTTACTTTAGGGTTCATTCGTGGTGCTGTCTAGTCCATGTTGTAAAAACTCATGTATGTACTATTAGAGGATCAGACAGAGGAGTTTCATTGCCCTAAACAAGCCCTGCGCTCTGCCTCTTCACCTCCCCCTCCCCTCCATAACCTGGCAACGTTATCTTATGACTCCGTAGTTTGGCCTTTTCCAGGTGATACAGCTGAAATCATCTACTCGGTGACCTTTTTAGTGCGGCTTCTTTCACCTGGTAATGTGCGGTCAAGTTTCCTCCATGTCTCTTCGTGGCTGACAGCTCATTTCTTTTCAGTGTTAAATAATATTCTGTCGTCTGGAGGGGCGCCTGGTGGCTCAGTCGGTTGAGCATCCGACCTTGGCTCAAGTCATGATCTCACGGTCTGTGGGTTCGAGCCCCACATCGGGCTCTGTGCTGACAGCTCAGAGCTTCAAGCCTGTTTTGGATTCTGTGTCTCCTTCTCTCTCTGCCTCTTCTCTCTCTCAAAAATGAATAAACATTAAAATACTTTTTTAAAAAACACGGTGGGAGGGCGCCTGGGTGGCTCAGTTAAGCGTCCGACTTTGGCTCAGGTCATGACCCCCCAGTTCCTGGGTTCAAGCCTACACCAGGCTCCGTGCTGACGGCTCAGAGCCTGGAGCCTGCTTCAGATTCTGTGTGTGTGTCTCTCTCTGTCCCTCCCCTGCTCGCATTCTGTCCATCTCTCTCTCTCAAAAATAAATAAATATTAAAAAATTAAAAACAACAGGGGCACCTGGGTGGCTTAGTCGGTTAAGCGTCCGACTTTCGCTTAGGTCATGATCTCACGGTTCGTGGGTTCGAGCCCCGCGTCGGGCTCTGTGCTGACTGCCAGCTCAGAGCCTGGAGCCTATTTCAGAGTCTGTGTCTCCCTCTCTCTCTGACCCTCCCCTGCTCATGCTGTCTTTGTCTCTCTCTCTCCTAGAAAGAAATAAAAATATTAAAAAAAACAATTAAAAATAACAACAACAATACAGTGGAGGCACTTGGGTGGGTCAGTCAGTTGAGTGTCCGACTCTGGGTTTCGGCTCAGGTCACAATCTTGCAGTGGGTTAGGATCCCGCATTGGGCTCTGTGCTGACAGTGCAGAGCCTGCTTGGGATTCTCTGTCTCCCTCTTTCTCTGACCCTTCCCCACTCATGCTCTCACAAAAATAAATATTTAAAAAAGTGGCAAGGGGCACCTAGGTGGCTCAGTAGGTTAAGCGTTAAGTGTCGACTCTTGATCTCAGCTCAGATCTTTTTTTTTTTTGATGTTTATTATTTTGAGACAGAGAGAGAGCATGAGCAAACAGAGGAGGGGCAGAGAGAAAGGGAGACACAGAAGCTGAAGCAGGCCCCAGGCGCTGAGCTGTCAGCACAGAACCTGATGCGGGGCTCAAACCCACGAACTGTAAGATCATGACCTGAGCTGAAGTCAGACGAGCTCAACCTGACTGAGCCACCCAGGCGCCCCACAGGTCTTTTGATGTCTGTTTGTTTATTTTGAGAGAGAAAGCACAAGTGAGGGAGGGCGAGGGGGGGAGAGAAAGAATCCCGAGCAGCCTCCATGCTCAGTGTGGAGCCCGACTTGGGGCTCCATCTCACAACTGCGAGATCAAGACCTGAACCAAAATCAAGAGTTGGACGCTTAACCGACTGGGCCACCCAGGCGCCCCTCAGCTCAGGTCTTGATCTCAGGGTCATGAGTTCAAGCCCCAGGTTGGGATCCTCACTGGGAATGAAGCCTACCTAAGATAAAATAAATAAATAAAAACAAAGTAAATAAATAAAACACGATGAAAAAGAAAGAAAAATTAAAAATTAAACATATACATACATACATAAAGTCAGGGTGGGTGGCCTGGCTGGCTCAGTAAAGCATGCGACTCTTGGTATTGGGGTTGATCTTGTTCTTGGAGCCCCATGTTGGGTGTAGAGATTACTTAAGGAAATTAAAAATAATAATAATAAAAATTTTTAAAAGGGTTGGAAAGAAAAGGGACTGAGCATGAAGCCAGCTGCTTGTGCTTGCAAAGCCTCTCCCCACGTTCAGCCTGTAGAGAAACCCAGGGCTCCCAACGGAGCCGGTATGAAATGACACCGGGACACACCCTACCGATGGTCTTTACCCAGCACCATTTAATGTCTTAAAGAACAGTTTTTGTTAAAAGTCAAAATAGGAAACATCACAGTCTCTTAAGAGCAATACATTTAATACAGGAAGATTTCAAATGAAAAACAAATTATTCATGCGACAGGGTTTCATCCTCCTGGACGACACAAAAAAAACCCCACAGCCCTCAATCTACATGTTTTCACACGAATCGCATCTGGACACAAAGACCGGTTAAAGACAAAATGAAACCAACGGTGAATCCATCCTGCAGGAGCAGACGTCCTGACACCCCCCATCCCAGCCTCAAATGAGCACGGCTGCCCACCCCCCCTGCCAGCACTTGCTTCTCCCCAGCTGCGGGGCGCTGTCGTGCTGACGCTGCTCTCAGACAGCGGGGACTGTGCTCATCGGTTAGCGCAGAAGCTACGACACCAAAAAAGTACCCTGCTGTTTATCAAAGGAAGCCCACACTAACGTCTGAAAAGGGCTTCTAATACCACGGGGAGCTGTTTAAGTTGTAAAGTCGTAACTGACAAGGCCAAGTACAAAACCGTATATTCAGTATGATTTTAAGTAGCTAAAACCCAAACCAAACCACAAGGTGCCCTCAAAGAGGCGAAACATTCAAAATGTTTAGTGGCTGTTTTCAAGTAGTGTATCTACAGTGATCTTTTTTTTTTTTCCTTTCTTTTACTTTACTATCTTTACCAAAATGTTCTCTACTGGGGGCATTTTCTTTTTAACTATTAGTTACCAAAAAAAAAAGAAGAAGACGACTGATAGAAGTACTGCATGTGAGTTCGTCAGTTTAAGTCCAGTCTGTAAGAAAGGCTTTGCACACCCGTGAGGCTGGAAAACCTTCTCAGCTACTCCGTGAGTCCGTTCCGTGCTCAGAGTAATGTCCCAGAGCGGGGGGCCGCCGCCCCCTCTCTCTCCCGGCCAGGGGCGCAGTCTCACCAGGTCCTGCCTGAGGAAAAATGCTAACCAGGCAGCCTTGTGAGCCCAGATGAACCCGAGAGCGGCTCTTCTGGGTGGTCCCCAGCGCCCCCAAACCACTGGCCCCTGGTTAAAATGCTGGCAGCATTAAAAAAAAAATAAAATGCTAAGCCAGACAGAAATGTAACGGATTTCCAAAAAGTGGCAGAAATGCCCACACTTAGCAAAAACCTGTTTGCGGTACGTTAACATTAGAATTAAACGAGAGGACAGGGATTTTCTCCCATCTTCGGTTCAGATGTCACGTTTAAAAAGAAGCGATCATCGCAGTGACTGTAGAAAGCTAATCCTGGTCTAGAAACAAGCGGAACAGCACGGCAACAGCAGCGGACCGAGAAGAGCACAAAATTTAGAAAGTTATAAAAAGTGCTTTCTATAAAAGTGGTTCCCTTTAAAACACTTGCTGACGGCACACACTGTAAGGCCCCACCTCCCCACCCCCCAAAAAAGGGCACACCTTCCCAACGCTTTCTACCAAAGTACCCACTGGTTTGTTCCTTCAACAAACACTGACTGAAGGCTCATAATGTGTGAGGCACTGGGGTCTCAACGAGAAGACAGACTTGTCCCTGCCTCAGGGACACGCGTGGCTTCTCAAAGTGGGAGGCGGACACGTCACCAACCACAACACAGCAAATGAAAAGCAGACGCCACCGCTTTCTTACAATTGGAGAATATGCTATAATTCTCACTGAATTACTTCCACAAAAGTCCTTACACACACTTTCCTGACTTAGTAGCAGGCAAAAATGCAATGACTCGGTGACCACTGGAATCCGCGTAGAAGGGGCGGGCATGAAATTACAGTCTGTGACATTTGCCCCTGCACATCACAGTGCCTGGTGAAGGCAGCTACCCTTCCTGTAAGCAATGGAGGACTTTCTCCTCCGGGAATGAGACACCTTGAATCTGAGAGTAAGTGACCAGTACTAAATGAAGACCGAGACTAGTCAGTACCACCAAAGGCTGAGACTCAGGAGTGCGAATTTGATTTCGAATCTTCCGTCTCCCCTTCCATCCGCTGGTTTTCAAAATGCTCCTGTGTCAGCCGCTCCAGGTCTTTCCGGACGTTCGGATGGTCTTCCAGATCCTCGTACAGCGACCTCACGATGTCCAGTCTCCTGTAGTTCTCGGGCTTGACGAGGCTCCGGACAACCTGGAGGCAGCGCTCCTTCAGCGTGTACACTGCAAATGCGGAAAACCAGCCCTCAGCAGCGGGCTCGGGGCAAGGCGGGAGCGGGAGGCTGTGGCGACCCCGCAACCCCTCACTACAGACGGGGCTCATGTCGGAGGGAAGAACGTGGGCACGCGCGGCAGGGGGCAACGTGACGGCCCTGACGCACGCCTCCCGGTCCACAGGACCTTGTGTAAGAACTTCCCCGTGTAAGTGGGCCGGGCGTTAATGAACCGAACGCGGCTGCGCAACGCTGCGCCAACTCCGAAGCTAAGCTGTAAGCAGCCCCGGCAACTTACTCGCAACCCCAGGGCGGTGGGACCGTGCCCTGCATCAGACTCTGCACTGAGTGTGGAAGCTGCTTAAGATCCTCTCTCTACCTCGGCCCCTCTCCCCTGCTCGCACTCTTTCTAAAATATAAAATTAAGGGGTGCCCGGTGGCTCAGTCAGTTGAGTGTCCGGCTCTTGATTTCGGGTCATGATCTCACAGTTCATGGGATCGAGCCCCGCTTTAGGCTGTAGGCTGACAGCATGGAGCCTGCTCGGGGGTTTCTCTCTCTCCTCTCTCTGCTCCTTCCCCACTAACACACGCACTCTCTCTCTCTCAAAATAAATAAACTTGTGAGCTTGAGTGGGTTAAATAACATTAACAATACAACACTAGGGATGCTCAGTTAAGCATCCAACTCTTGATTTCCACTCAGGTCATGATTTCATGGCGTAGAGCCTGCTCAAGACTCCCTCTCTCCCTCTCCTGCTGGCCCTCCCCTGCTCACGCGCGCACTCTCTCACGCTCTCGGGGGGCGAGGAAGGGGAATAAAAAGGATACAACACTAGAAGCTATGATATCTCATTCTCTGTACCTTATTCTTCTAGAAGACTCCAGGGCATAATTCTGCTCCAAGGCCAGGGAAGTGAAAATGCATTCTTAATTACATCAGATATTTTATTTATTTATTAAATTTTGTAAGTAATCTCTACCCCTAATGTGAGGCTTGAACTCACAACCCTGAGATCAAGAGTCACATGTTCTCTGGACCGAGCCAGCCAGGCACCCTGACAATCAGGTATTTTAATTCAGCTCATCTCTGACAAGCCCGGAGAGCTTCTGAGCAAGCACATCTTTGTTCCATGTAGAGTATACAAATAAATTAATTCCATTTTATTTCTAGTGGAGGAAAGGACACAGAAAGGTTGGATAACTTGACTAGCGTCCAGCAAAAACCAATAAAGGTTTGGCTCCTTCATGTGGCTTATTCTCTACTTATTACCACGGCCTTATCTTTTTATTTATGATTTAGGATCTATGGTCATTGTGGGGCTTGAACTCACGACCCTGAGATCACGAACCACATGTTTTACCCACTGAGGTCAGCCAGGCACCCCCAGCATTATCTTTTTATTAAGTTAGATAGAACCTCCGTACCTGGCAGCGTGATGTTGGCAAAAATAGGCTGTCCATCAACATTGAGAGATGGCACAAATAGTTCAGTCTGGTTAACCAGAAGCCCATCATATGTTCCTGCGTCTCGGAAAAGCCAAAGGTGACCTGTTAAAACAAGAAAAAGCTGTTATGTAGCCACACACCCATTTCCTTCATCTTCCTGGACTGATGCCGAAGTACTTGCCTCTTATGCTGCTTAAATATCTTCCTAAGCTCTTCCAGGAATATTATACCTTACTCAATCCGCACAAGAGCTCTATTTACAGATGAGAAAATAGATCTGAAAAAGCCAAGTGCTCTGCTCAAGGCAATGAGGCCAGTAAGGAAAAAAGAGCAGGTACTTGAGGCTCCAAATACAGTACCCTGTCTGCTCCCACAGTCCGAAAGCAAAGTCCGGGAATTGCGAATCACACCCAACACCGCAAACTAAAAGAACTTCACCAACTCCTTACATCTGTGCTTCTCATGAACAAGAAGATGCAAAACGATCACGTTCAGAAAAGGACACCAGACAGAATAGGGTACATTCTGTAGGAACAGACCAGACTAATCTATGGTGTGGAAAACCAAAAGAATGGTGGCCTCTGGCAGGAGGGAACTTCCTGGAGCGATGGAAATGTTCTAACCTATAGTTGGATCTAGGTGTTGTTCTATTTGTCAAAAACATACCAATCTGTAAGGTCTGTGCATTTTACTGTAAGTTATACTTGAATTGAAGAAACAAATACATTATATGCAGAGAGAGACAGAGAGAGGCAGAGAGAGGAAGAAAGCAAACCTTCCCGCCTCCAGGCCTAACAGTCCGTTTAAGGCAGGTGGAGAGTGCATCTGAATAAATACATCATGCATTCCCGGGGCACAAACATACTTGAAGATTTGGTGGGAAGTTTTAAGAAATGTAAACTGGTAAATTTTTTTTATTATGGTAAAACATACATAAAATTGACCATTTTAAGTGTACTGTTCAGTGACATTAAGCACATTCACATGGTAAGTAATTTTTAAAAATTTTACATTAAAGGCCGCCTGGGTGGTCCAATCAGTTGAGGGGCGGATTCGAGGTTTTGGCTCAGGTTATGGTCTGGCCCTCCCCACGCTCGCTCGCGCGCTCTCTCTCTCAAAATAAATAAAACTTTAAAAAAACAGATTCTCTAAACATTTTTTATATTAAATCAAGCGTAAATAAGTTTTGGAGAAAAAAAAGCAAAAATGTCGCACAAATTCTTAGATAAAATAGAAAACTAGAGAAACGCTGTCGTCTGGAAGAACTGTGTTCTCCACCGTTTAGTGTCAGGGGACGTCTGGTGTCAAAGTTTGGGAAACGTCACCGAGTACACCACTCTCAGGGCCCAACGACCCACTGCAAAGCGCTCCCTAACCGAAGCGTACACACCCCTTCCCTTCGCGGAGCCAGGGGCCGGCATCCGTTTTTGCGTTCCTCTGTCTCCGCCACTGGATTCCGTTCTCCATGCAGGACGGGGACCTGACGCGGACCCGGCCCACGGGGGACACCGGAGAATGGAAGATTCTCCCAGAGACGGACTGAGCGAACGGGCATTAGGTACCCAGCACTTTTAGGGATAAAGATACGTGTAAGGCGGGGAAGCCACCTCCGATGCAAATCATTCGGTCCTATAAAAAGGAATTGGCTGCCACTTAGTAGCAGCGTCCACCCGGATCTGTCGTAACCCCTCGGGGGCGGCAGCCGGCGTTCGCTGCGCCCCGGGACAAAGCGGGAGGCGCGGGCGGGCCGGGCCCACCTACCGCGGTAGCTGTGGATGCGGCGGCCAGTGCCGGGCGGCAGCGTCGGGTAGGGCTGCGGCTCGCCGTCGAAGTTGAGCCACACGGGCAGCACGACGCGCGGGCTGCGGTTGCAGAAGATGACCTGGGACGGCTCGCACGAGTTCACCGAGCGCAGCACCGGCCGCGGCTGCCCGGCCTCCATCTCCTCCTCGGCGCCGGGATCCTCGGGGTCGGACATTTCCGGGCCCGACTCCTCGGCGCCCGACTCCTCCCCGCCGTACTCCTCAGGGCCCACCTCCTCCGCGTCCACCTCCTCCGCCGCGGCCCCGGCCTCGTCCACGTTCCCCGCCTTCCGGGGCATTACCTCCCGGAGTCTGGACGGCCCGGGCCTCGCAGCCTCGGGATTTGTGGGCCGTACGGCGTGGGGCGGGGCGCGCGTGCGTGCGTGCGCGTCCCCGCGAGCGCGCTCTCGGTCAGGGGCGGAAGACGCTCGCGGAAATGGCCGGCTTGAGACTGCGCACGCGCAGGGGCAACCTCCAGCCGCAGGAACCGAGCCTTCGGGGTGCAGAGGCTGACGCCGGGCCGCCTCGTCCACGCGTTTCCTCCGTAAAGCGGATTCTTTTTTCGCACCGATGAGTTTCTGACACAGCATTTCCTTAGCTTCATTTATTCTCGTAAGATCTTCATGGTTTTTGCCATATTCTCCCTACCAAATGCGCTGTTATTTATTTAATAATTTTCTCGTTTGTTTTGTCTCCATCTTCGGTTACAAAATTCGAAGGGTAGAATAAAGTCATAAGTTCCGTCTCGGGGCGCCTGGGGGGCTCAGTCGGTTAAGCGTCCGACTTCGGCTGAGGTCATGGTCTCACGGTTCGTGGGTTCGAGCCCCGCGTCGGGCTCTCTGCTTCAGATTCTGTGTCTCCCTCTCTCTGCCCCTCCCCCACTCATGCTCACCCTTGCACGCACTCCGTCTCTCTCTAAATAAACAGTAAAATTTTTAAAAATACAGGGGGAGAACCTATTAAATTGTATGTGTAGTGTGATGACCTTTAAGTAAACTATACACATTTATTCCCCCACCCCAACTTTTGAATGTAGTTTTTATTATTACCTTTGTAATGAAAACAACTAAGCCAGTTCCTTTTCCCCCCAGTTTTATTGAGATATAATTGACCCAAGTCAATTCTTTTTAAAAAATCTTTTTTTAAATATTTTTATTTATTTCTAGGAGAGAGAGAGAGACAGCGTGAGCAGGGGAGGGTCAGAGAGAGAGGGAGACACAGACCCTGAAATAGGCTCCGGGCTCTGAGCTGGCATTCAGCACAGAGCCCGACGCGGGGCTCGAACCCACCAACCGCGAGATCATGACCTAAGCGAAAGTCGGACGCTTAACCGACTAAGCCACGAAGGCGCCCCTAAAAAAAATTTTTTAAAGTTTATTTTTAAGTAATCTCTACATCCAACATGGGGCTTGAACTCATGACCCCGAGATCAAGAGTTACATGGTTTTCTGCCGCCCCTGGGTGGCTCAGCTGGCTAGAGGTCCCACTTCAGCTCAGGTCATGACCTCACAGTTTGTGAGTTGGAGCCTCGGGCTCTGTGCTGACAACTCAGAACCTGGGGCCTGCTCTGGATTCTGCGTCTCCCTCTCTCTGCCCCTCCCCTGCTCGCACTCTGCCTGCCTCCCTCTCAAAAGAAATAAACAAAACAAAAACAGTTACGTGGTCTGATCCAACCAAGTGCCCCTGAGGTTAAGTCAAAAAAAAATTTTTTTAGTTGAGTTTTGAGAGCAAGCGCTAGTGGGGAAGGGACAGAGAGAGGCAGGCAGGGGATCCAAAGCAGGCTCTGTGCCGACAGCAGAAAGCCCAACATAAGGGCTTGAACTCATGAGCCATGAGATCATGACCTGAGCTGAAGTCGGAGGCTTAACCTACTGAGCCACCCTGAGGCCCCCAAATCAATTATTAGAAGCCATGGATGCCTGGAGCACTGGAGTGGCTCAGTCAGTTAAGCAACCAGCTCTTGTTTTCAGCTCAGGTCACGACCAAGCTCTCCATCAGGCTGACAGCACCGGGCCTGTTGGGATTCTCCCTCTCCCTCTCTGCCCTTCCCCTGCTCGCAGTCTCTCTCAAAATAAATAAATAAACTTAAAAAAAAACAAACCCCAAAAAACCAAGGATGCCTGGTGATAAAGGAAAAATAACCAGACCTACTATGTGAAGAGCACAAGGTGAAAATACGGGAAATGAGATGTTTATTTCTGGGAGATTAAAACTACAAAGCATAAACACTCATTCTCATTCATTCCACAAATACTGAGGGAATACAATGTGCCAGGTACTGTGCTGAGCCGTTGAGAATATGGCAGAGGAGTCAAGGTCCCTGCCTTCACAGCACTTCAAAGAGGGTTACAGAATAGCCAATCACACAAATAAAAACCAAGTTGAGCTTACAACTAGTGAACAAAGAAGCCACGTGGTGCTCCGGAAGGCTGGAAATCTGGTGATCGAGGAAGATGGTCTGCAATTTTGGGTAAATGTTCACTCACGTGGGATAGGTCCTAAGGGCATAAGTGGCACTGAAATGGCAGGGTTCCGTGCGTTTCTTTTTATTATTTTAAGGTCTGTTTTGAGAGAAAGTGAGAGCACGGGGCGGGGGCAGGGGTGGGGGGTCGGAGAGGGAAAGAATCCCAAGCAGTTGGCACAGAGGCTGATGCAGGGCTCACAACCTGAGCCGAAATCAAGAGTTGGTCACTCAACTGACTGAGTCACCCAGGCACCCCAGGAGGTTTCTTTCTAGTCAAAGGTGAACTTCAAGAACAAAGAAAAAAAATCTATCAAGTGCCAGGCCAGGCACTCAGCATTACACATGCATTAAAGCTATGTCATTCTCAGGGTGCCTGGGTGGCCCAGTCAGTTAAGCGTCAACTTCAGCTCAGGTCATGATCTCAAGGTTCGTGGGTTGAAAGGGTTCAAAGCCCTGCATCAGGCTCTCTGCTGTCAGCACAGAGCCCACTTCGGATCCTCTGTCCCCCTCTCTCTGCCCCTCCCCGCTTGCATGCTCTCACTCTCTCTCTCTCTAAAATAAGCATACATCGAAGTGCCTGGGTGGCTCTGTCAGTTTAGTCTCAGACTTCAGCTCAGGCCATGACCTCGCAGTTTGTGAGTTCAAGTTCTACATCTGGCTCTGTGCTGACAGCTCAGAGCCTGGAGCCTGCTTCAGATTCGGTCTCCCTCTCTCTCTGCCCTTCCTCCACTTGCAGTCTGTGTGTGTCTCTCTCAAAAAATAAATAAAACATTTATATATATATGTATACATATGTATATATATATATATAAGCGCATTTAGAAAAAAAGCTATGTCATTCTCTCCATTTTACAATTAAGAAAACTGAAGCATATATAAGGGTGTGCAGAGGGTGGCCGGAGGAGTGTGCTGGATTAGAGAGGTTCATCATTTCCTGCCTTGTTGAAAATGATGGCATGAGTCCATCTAAGGAGTGAGACGAATCTACAAAAGAACACCGGAACCTCAGTGATTCTGCCGTGCGCTCTCCTTGAAAGCACATTATACAAAGTGTCCTGATGGCTTCCAGACGGAGAGTGAGCAGCAGGGAGCAGACCTCCAGCTCCACTGAACATCATCGTGGAAACATTCGTGGAGGAAAGCCCCAGTGAGGGGCAGGGCTGCCTGTTGAATTACAAAGCTTCCGAGACATGAGAATTTACAGGATTCATGCAAACATACCCTCACTTGTACTTCCAGGTTAGTGAAGTGAAACATACCAGTTTAATATTACAGAAACACCTACATCCGTAAAAGGAGAGCAGCTGTTTAAATAAATGCAAGCCTTAAGATTCTTATTACATCATTGCAAATAATTACAAAGTCTATTTATGAGGAAGGAGAACACGTTTAGGATATACCACGCAAAACTAGAGGCTATATTGTTCTCACGTTACACTTTCCACTATGCAAAAGCAAACACAAAGAGAGGAATAGAAGAAAATACACCCAAATATAACAGGTTATTTCTCTCCCCTTCTATTTTAATGTCTTTTACAAATTTTCCTTTAGGGGGATACATTTTGCCTCGTTTATATTTTGACCAATTAAAAAATACAAAGAAGTACAAATAATAAGGCGAACACTGATAATCTCACCGTATAAATTTAACAGTATGCTGTCATATTTACTTTTTTAACAAAACATACGAGGCTAAAATCTCCTTTAACCTCCACCCTGGTCCCATGTCCCTCCTTCCTCCCCAGGAGCAATAACTACCGCCAATTGTGTATCTCTTCAGGGTATTTACCCCCCTAAATTTATTTTAAGTTTACATATAGAATTCACATCTTGGTGTATAGATCAGAGTTGTGACAGAACAGTCATGTAACCATCACCACGACTAAGATCCAAGATATCTCATGCCCCCCAAAGGATGCTGTGACCCCCCTCCACCTCCAGGCTGAGGCCTTGGCAACCACCCATCTATCTCCAATCCCTAGTGTTGCCTTTTCCACAACGTCATATAATGGAATCATACAGTACGTGGCTTTTTGAGCCTGGCTATTCACTCAGCGTAATCAAGTGGAGATTCATCCATATTGTTGTATCAACAGCTTATTCCTTTTCATTGCCAAATGGTATTCCACCATCCACTCACTAACTGAAGGACATGGGAGTCGTTTCCGCCTTTTAGCAATCATGAACAAAGCTGCTACAAACATTTGCATACAGGTTGTTGTGTGTGCAGGTGTGAACGTAAGTTTTCAATTCTCCTAAGTGAGAATCATCTAGGAATGAAACTGCGGGGTCGCGTGGGAAGTGTGCTTTCCCATAGTGGCTGTATCATTTTGCATTCTCACCAGCAATGGAGGACTGATCCATTTGCTCCACATCCTTGCCTGCATTTAGTAGTATTCGTTGTTTGTTTTATTGAGGTTTTCGCTCTTCTAATAGATTGCATAGTAGGAATTCACTAAGGTTTTAATTTATTATTTCCCAGTGACTGGCAACGTTGACTATCTTTTCATGAGCTTGCTTGCTATCGATTTGTCCCTGAAGTCCTTCAACCATTTATTAGATTCTCTTCTCATTGAATTTTGATAGGTCTTTTATCCAGGCCAATTTTTACTGCTTCTCATATACTTGTGTGTACCTACGATCTATATGCGGTATCATATTACTTTCACAGTGGTAAAAATCAGTAACAAAAACAAAACTAAAACTAAAATAACCAAAAAACAGAACGAAAAACTTGGTTCTGACAAATAAAGCTTTGGCCAGTGATATCTTTCCTATTTAATAAAGTTGATACTGCATTGATCCTTTACGTTCTTTTTTTTTCCTGAGTTTTTAATGAAAATGCCATTTTGGTGTCCTCTGGGCTGTCTGGGAAAATACAGTGAATAATGACTGACTACATTATACTCTGGTAAGAGTAGGATCTATGTGTCTGATTCTCCCCATTTTATCTCCAGTGCCTCGTGCACAGCAGATGTACATACAGTGTATTTGATGCTAATAAACAACTTCTTAGGCAAAATGTATGTCAAAGCCAAACTGAATTACCTATTTATTGGATGAGACATTCTGCTTTAAAAAGAAAAAAAAAGTGTATTAATAAAGTGTTTCCCCTTGTAATGCACTTATTGTCCATGTGTACTTTTCAGGTCACACTGGGATTATCACATTAAAGGAGTTCAAATTTGGGGACAAAATAAATCTTCTCAATTCAAAAATAGGTTATATGAATATATAGAAACTATTTATACTCTTCTTACAGCTTTTCTACAAGCCTGAAGACTGTTTCACACTAAAATCAGTTTTGTTTTTTTTTAAAAACAAGGGACTCAGATTAAGGCACAATAACAACCTCACACTTGGTCATCTCAACAGATCCCAAGGTGCCCAAGGGCCACAGGAAACCTGTCCCAGAGTGTTTCGATGCAAACACTGATGCCAGAGGGTAACACTTGGCTAAATGTCACAGCTGCTTTTCTGCTCGGTCAGGTTGTCCTTGGGACCCAAGGAGAGGCTGACGAAGGACCGGCCCCGCACGGAGAACAGAAAACTGACGCGCGAGTCCTTGAACAGCCCTGCGCTGAGCGGGAGGAAGGAGACCTGGGTTTTAGGTTTGGCCTGGCCGCCAGGTAAGTGGATGGGCACGCCGCACAACCTGTCTGCACTTGTTTATCCGTTTCTAAAATGGCAGGAGTAGACCCAATTGCCACTAAAATCCTTTCTCATCTTCGTTCTGGGAGTTTTATTGCTCGCTAATCCTCATCTTTAGACAACTTAGTTTCAAGGTCAGCTTTTCCTCAGAAAATAAACCCGAGAGCCCTAAATCAACCTGATTTTCTTGTTACATGATCTACTTGACGGCCACGCCTGCCTTCGGCAGGCAGCTGTATTTCTGTACTGATCCTCATGGCGCCAACGGTCCGCAAACTGCCAGGGTTAAGTCCCAACTCACATTTGGAAAGCCAAGAGCCTGGGCAAAGATTTTCAAGCCTGCAACAGTCTGAAACCGAGTGCAGTGGCTGGGAAGGAGCCCAGAGACGAACAACGGGCTTTCTGTCCCACGCGGCAGGGCCTACAGTAACAAACACGTTTTATAAACATGGCTTCAGCTTTGCGGGATAAAGGTGGGAAATTCAAAGGAAATTCAAAGGAAATTAACAGGAGCAACGTAACCGAACTGGGTACATCTCTAATGCCCGAAACGCGAACTGGGTACGTCTCTAATGCCCGAAACGTCAGTTCCCCGTTTCTTCCTGCTTCTGAAATCTAGGTCAGGCTTAGTTTTGCAAGAGATTGAAAACTGCTTTATTATCAAGAGATGTGTAATCCACTTACACCTACTAGCTCACCGGCTCAAACCCCCTGGTTTTTAGTTTTTCAATAAAAATGCAAATGAAACCAAACTGCAGGGCGGAAAATATTTCCAAGCCTAAGAGAATAAAGAGGTTCTCTTGAAGGTTCCTACGGATGGTTGAGAGAAGATGTGTCCTATTTAGCTCGTTTCCCACGCACGTTAGAAAACAGCAAAGTCCTTCAAAACTACCCTTCCTCAGAAATCACGGAGACGCCTTAAGGAAAGGAAGACAGGCACCATGTGAGTAACTTCCCTAAGTCAAGCCTCAGAAGAAAATGAACTCGATCTAACTCTTCATTATGAGGAGGTGACTGAGAAGCACCGGAATTTAGCAAATCTGAGCATATTTAATCCCTCTGAAACTCCAGTCTTCTTACAGCTCCAATCAAAGTAACTACCCTGTCAACCTCTTAGTTTTGCTATAGGCATTAAACGTTAGTGTTTAAAAGACCAGAATGTTTAATAAATGTAGACTAAAATGTAAAGGAGAACTTTACCATCCTCAGTAAGGATGAAATGTTCGTATTTTAGAACTGTTATTGCTTCAGTTGAAGAAGGGACACCCCGGGGACAAGGTAACTGGTTGTTTAACCTAACGATATGGACTACAAGGCCCAGTGAGCAAAGATGCAAATGACAAGAGAGTAAATTCCAGGTTCTGGACTCAGATCTAAGGCCGGTCAGAAGAGGGATGTAGCTGCTGCTTTTGGCTCCACCCAAAGCAGCCAGAAGAAGCACTGGCGTGGATTAAATTCCTTAGGCGAGGCTTCTAGACAAGAACCTTCAGAGAAAAAAGGCAGCGAGGAGCAGAACTACACGACAGACATGAATGCAAACAGTGTTCGCTGGGCACAGCAGGGACAACCTGTGAGGCCTTCTCAACAAAAGGAAAGAGAGAAGCACGGAAGACGAACACGTGTGTGTGATTTGTGCCGAAAGCGTCTTGCGTGAAGACAGCGGGAGGGCACTGGCCTGGGAATGAGAAAACACACTTTAGATCTCACTCTACCACATTCAGAATCAAAGAATGGTTAGAACGGTCTGAGTCCGGCAGGTCTAGGTTCAAATCCCTGTTCCTTCCCTTACTTCGAATGGCTCTGGACAGGTTTTAGCCTGTCTAAACTAGCTCCTCGCCTACCACACGGAGATAAGAATGCCTACTTCTTGGAGTCCGAGGATTAAATGAAATAAAGTACAAGAAGCAACTGGCACGTCTAGCACATATAATACTAAATTACAGACAACATCAGCTGCATACCCTTGAGCAAGCCAGGGCCGCATTCTCTAAAGGGACTGATACCACAGAAAAGCACTCTCACACCTTCAAGTGCCAGGTGTCATGAAGGGGTTCCTACTAGCGGAAGGCTGTGTTCTCGTTTCCCACATCAGACATTACTAGTTGCTTTCCTTACAACCGGCAAGTTGCCATTAGCAATATGGCATTACTTACATTATGTTAATTACATTAAGACACTAACTTTTTTAGAAATGTCTCTGTCGGTTACCATCACTTTTGCCCCATCACTGACTCACCGCCCAGGCCTTGCATATAGCAGGAACTCAGTGAAGGTCTGCCCAACTGACCGCGGAGCACCAGATGACCTACAACTTGAACTTTGGAAGTACTTGTGGACAGGACAGAGCTGAATCACGAACTCAAGTGACTCAAGTGACAGTTAAAAGCCCTCTCTCTACTGATAAGCTCAAGAGTGTTCAAAAACACCACTTACTATAGGAAAGGATGTCAGGTTTGTCTCCATTGAAAAATCCTATTTCTAAACGAAGGTACTACTTAAAATGATCTAAAAGTCTAAGCAGAGATTCTAAAAGATCTGACAGTGCAAAGCAGCTTGGACTCTACAAGTCAATTTAACTGCTATTTACTGACCACTTGCCTTCCGCAAGGCACCTCGCTGGGCAATCTGGGAGAAGGGACTCGTGTATATTATACTAGGTGGATGCTACACCAGGGAACGACTCATAACAACATCAAGTCCAGAGCTGAAGTGTAGCGTCAGCACGGCAAGATGGGATGGGAGGGGTTGAGAAAAGGAAAAGGGCAGTACTAAATGAAAAGTGAAGTCTCGGAGAAATTTCTGGAAGTGGTGTGACGCAAGCTAGCCTTTGAATAGCAAATGCAATTTGAAGAGAGGGAAACGTGTGTGCATGGAGCATGGGGACTTCTACGTGACTAACACAGAGACTTCTACATAAGAAACAAACCTTTGGAAGTAGGGTGGCCCGAGCTCACAGCAAGCTTTGGATTCTAGAATGCAAAGTTTTAGACCCTTCTGTTTGAACGACTTGATTTTCAAAAGAAATAGACATTTAGCTTTTACCTGATAAAACTAATAGTCTGCCCTGGGCTGTGGTGAGCCTGCATGGACGCTGGCCTTGCAGCAGACTAGAAGCATCACGCCCCATTCAATGCTGTAGCTTTTATTGGAGCAGAACATGCCTACAGATTAAGTACCTCGTAAATGTCTGCTGAATGGCCAGATGACTCCCAGATGCATCAGTCAGCTCAAAGTCCAAACATGGGGGACGGGTGGGGGGCGGGGGGGGTTGCCCAGCCAGGAAGCGACCTAGGCTTTGACCAAAGAGCGACGGCTGAGAGTTTTATGTCAGAACAGTCACCCGCACATCAGATTTCTGTGGAACAGGCGGGCCCCATCTCTAGCTCCTCTCCCCACCACAATCACAGCAGTCAAATAAAGTTGAGGAGTTTATTAGGGAAATACGAGAGGCACAGACACCCTAAGTGACAGAAAGAAAATTCTGAAAATGTCCCTTCAAGCCAAGTGGGGGCCTGGCCTCGACCTCCCCCAGAGGACTAGAACCTGGTGGGCTGCCAACAACAGTTTCGGTGGCCACCGTGCGGGGCGTACGCGTCTCAGCCAGGCCTGCTGCCCGCCCCCCAGCAAAGGTGGAAAGGACCCAAAAACTGTTTATAGGACCATTGCAGAGGCCATGAGAGCTGTAAGGAAATTCTGAGAGAGAGAGAGAGAGAGAGAGAGAGAGAGAGAGAGAGAGAGAGAGAGAGAGGTGGTGGGGAGGACCTTAACAAAGAGCCCCAGGCGTCTGGCTGCGCACGCCTCAAATACATTGACAAACAGTTCGACAAAATGTTACTTAAAAGGTAAAACGCCTAACGCTGTGTCCGAGAGGTCCCCTGGGCTTCTTCCCACATGCCACATCACACACCGCTGTACGCGGCAGAGCCCAAAGGCCACGCTTTTGAAAAAGGGAAAACAAGAATAAGCCCTGTTGCTCTTTAAGGAGAGAGGAAGGAGCTGAGGCTGCTGGGGCCTGTCCCACGGAGGCCTGTGTTCTGTAAAGCAACTTCCCAGCAGCAGTGTGGCACACAGTTCTAGGTGAGGGTCTCCCCCTTTGTCACCTGCCAAAGGAAAAGGACAATTAGATACAGTCACAAGGATAAAAAAAATATCTTTTTCTAGATCCTAGTAGTTGGGAGTGGAAGGAAAGGTAACAGCCTTGGAGTCCAGAAACCTGGGTCAAATCCGGGGAACCAAGCTCATTAACTTCCCTACGGCTGTTATTGCTTCCACGTTTGTTTCAGTAACAAGTGGATACGTGCACTTTCTCGCACAAGCCTTGCCTGGCCTCATGAGGAAGCACCTTCCCCCAGGTACTCACCCGTGCTTCAATGTACTCTATTCTCCGTTCGAGGGCTGTCAATTTCTCATTTAGTGTTGCAAGTCTTGAACGACAAGACATATCTGGTAAAAGGAGACTGATGTTCAGGATTAAGGTCATTCCAAATACACACACACACACACACACACACACACACACACACAGCCCCTAGCTGCAGAGGAGGAACGGTACATCATGCAGAGCCCAGATGGGAGCAATGGACAAAGCAGGGGACCGCAGAAGAGGTGAGAATTCCGTTAGGAACACAGCTGCTTAGAACGGATCTGCTGAATTTGCTACCAAGGGTGGCAGGCAGAGAAAATGACCCCCAAAGATGTCGACGACCTAATCCCCCAAACCTATGAATATGTATCCTACATGACAAAAAGGACTTTGTGGATATGATTACGTTTAAGGACCCTGAGATCCAGGATGATCCAGATGGACACAATCTAATCACAAATCCATGAATGTAGGAGAGACAGAGGAAAGGTGGAGGAAGAAGAAGAAATTCAAAGGGTGAGGGGAACTCAACCTGCTATTGCTGCCTTTGAAGATGGAGGAAGGAGACCATGAGCCAAAGGATGCCGGTGACCCTGAGAAGCTGGGAACAGGCCTCAGCTGACAGCCACCAAGGAAACCGAGATCTCAGTCCTACAGCCACAGGAAACAGTCTGCCAGGAACTCAATGAGCAAGGAAACAGATCTTCTAGACTCTCCAGGAAGAAAGGCAGCCCCGCTGACACCTCGATTTTAGCCCAGGGAATAGATGTTCGGCGTCCAATCTACTCAGCAGTAAAATAATAAACTTGTGATAAAAGGGGCTACGGTTACGGTAACTTGTCACAGCAGCCGGTGAAAACTCACACCAACACTGTACAGGCGGCTATTTGCTAACAGGCAAATCAAGAGTTTCAAGAGAGGGGAAGCGACAAGAGAGAAAATAATCTCAAGAGGGAGGAGAAACAGAGGCCAAGAAAGCAGCAGAGACTGTGCCTTTGCTCTAGGAAGGTACTTAATGTGACATCGATATCTGCGCAGGCATTTCGGAGCGAGAGAAAACGGGAGAAGATCAAATACCCTGTGAAGCCCACATGCCATCTGTGGAAAATAGCAAAATTCCTTTTCTTCCTTTACCCTTCTAATCTTTTCTCACTACCTCATCCAAAATGAAACCCGAGATTTCCCCTAAAACACCTTTTCCTCCGCAAACTACTCTAACAGAAACCGCTTTACTACTCTTTCCCCCACCATTCAACACATGGGAGAAGAGGTTCCTAGGCGAGCTAATGATTTCCTACCTCTTCCAACTCCCTTGTTCGCTCATCCTCAATAATCTTCTGTTTTTAAGCCTAAAATATCCTCTCCGAGACAATCTCCCACTCAGTGATTTAACACTTCGCTCACAACTTCCCTTTCATCTCTTCCTTGTTACGCAAAAGCACTTGGGCATCTATTTCGACAAATCATCCTGCACCTAGATTTTGCCGCAACCCCATGTCCCAATCTTGCTCATCTTGCCTGTCTAAACATTCTCCTTCAAGGCTCACTTCAGACTGGGCCTCCGAGAGGTCTCTGGCAGATGGATATCATTCTCCCTCTGCTGTACATTCATGGTTGAATTTCTAGTTTATAAGTTACTTACGTATTTGGGCCTAGGTTATCATCTCCCCCTTGAATACAGATTTAGCCAACAAGAATGTTCTCGACAATTACTTAGGAATGGTTTCATGAAGTAGGGCTTATGAAAGACTATTAAACCAGGCATTAAAAATTACGAGTCTGCATCTTTTTCACAAGTCACTAAAAAACAAACAAAAGAGGCATCATGGTGACAACTCATTAAAAAGCAAAATGAGGGGCGCCTGGGTGGCTCAGCTGGCTACGTGTCCGAGTAAGAGTTCAAGCCCCGCGTCGGGCTCTGTGCTGACAGCTCAGAGCCTGGGGCCTGCTTCAGAGTCTGTGTCTCCCTCTCTCTGCCCCTCCCTGGCTGGTGCCCTGTCTGTCTGTCTCTCTCTAAAAATAAAGAAAAACATTTAAAATTTTTCAAAAATAAAAAACATAAAATTACAAGTTGGATATTTAATGACGTAAGAAAATGCTCATGCCACATAGCCAAATGATATTTACATATTTGTAATTTATCATTGATTTCTATATCTGCTCCCCACCAGAAGGAGTTCATCAAAGGCAGACACTACCTCTTATTAATTAGTATCTTTACTGGCACAGCGATGTTTCTGAAGGAAAAAAAAAAGACGGGAGTCCGGTTATCAGTAGAACAAAAACTGGCTCTAATGTGACTCTACTAATTCTCCGCGTGGGGAACCAAAGCCCATCCTGGATAACGGGCGAAGCAGCTCAGCGGAGTTCAGAACCCAGTTCGCTCACGGCCCTGATGGTGCCTCCCCACCACACACATTACCATCTTTATGAACCTCTGAGGGCATAATTTATTCCCCACATCTCTCTCTCTTTCTTCAAGTTTATTTATTTTGAGAGACACACAGAGAGCATAAGGCAGGGGAGGGGCACAGGGAAAGAGAGAATCCTAAACAGGCTCCGTGCTATCAGCCCAGAGACAAACACAGGGTTCAAACTCACAAAAGTGAAATCGTGACCTGAGCCAAAATCAAGAGTCAGACACTTACCTGACTGAGGCAGCCAGGTGTCTCTATTCCCCACATCTTTTTTTAATGATGGTTTATTTTTGAGAGAGAGACCGACAGAAGATGAGAGGGGCAGAGTGAGGGTGACACAGAATCGGAAGCAGGGTCCAGGCTCCAAGGTGTCAGCACAGAGCCCGACGCGAGGCTCGAACTCACGGACCTCGAGACCATGACCTGAGCAGTAGTTGAACGCTCAACCGACTGAGCCACCCAGGCGCCCCTCCCCACATCTCTTAAAAGATGCTTACAGATGGACTCTTCCATTTACTGGTTCCTTTTCTTCTTTTTGTTTCCATACTAGGTATTTTCCCACTCATCCATCTTCACTGCTACTCTTCATTACTCTTTCTTAAAAACAGCTTTATTGATATAGAATTTAAACACCATGAAGTTCTCTTACTTAAAGTATACAACTCAATGGTTTTTATGGGTTTTTTTTCTTTTTTTTTTTATTTCTAGGAGAGAGAGAGACAGCGTGAGCAGGGGAGGGTCAGAGAGAGAGGGAGTCACAGACTGAAACAGGCTCCAGGCTCTGAGCTGGCTGTCAGCACAGAGCCCGACACAGGGCTTGAACCCACGAACCGCGAGATCATGACCTAAGCGAAAGTCGAACGCTTAACCGACTAAGCCACCCAGGCGCCCCACAACTCAATGGTTTTTAGAGCAGAGCTGTGGAACCATCGGCATAGACTAATTTTAGAACATCCTTATGATCCCCACATGAAACCTGTGCCGATCAGCAGCCATTCCCCATTCAGGCTCACCCCCACCCCTGGCCACCATTCATCTTTCTGTCTCTATGGATCTGCCTATTCTGGACATTCTTCATTCCTCTTTTATTTTTTTTAATTAAAAAAATTTTATGTTTTATTTATTTCTGAGAGAGACAGCATGAGCAGGGGAGGGTCAGAGAGAGAGGAAGACACAGAATCCGAAGCAGGCTCCAGGCTCTGAGCAAGCTGTCAGCACAGAGCCCGACGCAGGGCTCGAACCCATGAACCGTGAGATCATGACCTGAGCCGAAGTCGGACGCCCAACCGACTGAGCCCCCCGGCGCCCCTCTTCATTCCTCTTTTAAACCATATTGTTTATCTGCTAGTGCCACTCTTCCTAATTCCTAGGCCCAGCTGGCGTAGGACCTCAGCGCCCTCCTCTTCCTGGATACACGTTCACTGCCGCGACTGCCCAACAGGACCACGTCTCCTTCGATCTGGTTTAGCACCTCAAAGGCACACATGTAGGTTTATTCCACAGAGCATGACTGTTGCCACTGACACCTGTCGTTTCCCATAAAAAGAAGCATGCCGGAATTATCTGCAGGGGGGCGGGGTGGTGAGGGAGGGTTCCTTCCTGAACAGCTGCTCTGCTCTAGCTCGGTCAGTCTGGTAATGCATTGGAATCCAAGAACAACACTGTGTTACTGACCCACACGGACGAGCACTGTTGACAGATATCTCAGGTTGAACTCCAGAAACTCTGGTCATTATTTCAGGTCCCAAGAAATACATACTGATTCAAGCAAAAGCCCTGGGAAAGCACTCAGCTGCCGAACAAATCTGGAACCAGAGTGCAGTTACGGGTGTGTTGTCACCAGGCTGGAAGTGAAGGCACCAGCCGTCCCAGTCACGGTGCCTGACGTCGCGTGTCCATCACCGCTGCTGACAAAGGCCGGTGCCAGCTTCTCTGAACTCTTAATGCACAGAACCTCAGCCTGCAAAAATCAGCACTGCCATTCCCTGGAACTGATGTTCTCAACATCAGTTGAGATCGAGTTCTATTCTCAATCTCTCAGTGGCCGCTACCGTGTGTTCTCACTGATTCCTTTATCAGAGCTGACACCGTAACAGACAGGCTACATTTGTTGGCTAAGTATAAAAACTGACATTTAAAAATAACCACACTTTGTATTTTTGTGACACCTGTCTGCACAGATTAGCTTTCGAATCAGATAAAATGGTATAAAAATTTTTTTTAAAAATCTGTGACAATCTACTTTTAGAAGCTTCCCCAGTTCAAGGTCAGGCCAAGCGTTTGGATGTTATCACCGCCTTACGACCTCTGGGTCCTCAGGTTCAGGTGGGTGGTCCGCCAGTATTACTCTCACCAGCTGGAATCACAGGGTAAACGCTGTTCAGACAGTCATTAGCTATCTCGAAAAAACAGTTTCCTCTGCAAAGCACGTGGCCTACACAGACCCTCCGTGGTCAGGACGGGGACTGGAGGATTGCTGCCATTTTCAAAGCGCTCGCTCCGGATGCCCCCTCAAAGGAAACGCCTAGTAAGTCTCTATACCACCAAATCAGATTATCATAAACTCAGTATAAGCCCTCCGATTACACATCAGAACTGAGGAGTCACACTGAGGGCTGACAGTGGAAAAATATCCCTCACAGGTTTACCCTGAGTCTTTCAAGGCCAAGACAATGTATTCAAGTGTTTCATGATTTATCCAGTTTTGAGAAACTGGTTGGTTCTTGTCCAAACTGCTCTATCAGTGATACTGTCAATATTCAAGGACTCGCCTTGAATGGTAGTTACGTATACCTAATACTAAGTCAAATGGCTTTCGCTTTTAACCTTGCTTCATAATTGCAACTGTCCCTTATTTTTTTTAATTTTTAATGTTTTATTTATTTCTGAGAGAGAGAGAAAGAGAGAGAGAGGCAGTGAAAGCAGGGGAGGGTCAGAGAGAGAGGGAGACACAGAGTCCGAAGCAGGCCCCAAGCTCCGAGCTAGCTGTCAGCACAGGGCCCAACGCAGGGCTCGAACCCATGAACCTCGAGATCATGACCTGAGCTAAAGCTGGATGCTCAACTGACTGAGCCACCCAGGCGCCCTGTCCCTTTTCTTTAAAAGGACTAAATTAACTTCCCACAATCTTCAAAAATCATCTAGTAATTACTCCAAACATTAGCCCACTAGCATCACTGTAAGGGAGAATAATGGCTTAAGCTAAGGAAATCCCTAAGATCCAATCCTTAAGACTGGAATTCTGTGTGACTATTTCCTCAGTCTGAGACCTGATGGAAGTCTCTAATAAAAAGAAAAGTCTTTATTTTTCACTTAATCAAAAAATGTGATTCACACATTTGGTAAAATTTCAGTGCAGATATTTCCTTGCTTGTAGAGCAAGAAAAGAGGCATTTCTCCTCTGCAAATCCTGGGCTCAAACTCTTCAATTTTTGGTCAGTTCCAAGCCTCATCTCCTATAAATCTAGAGACTATAAGATGCCAGGAAGACTTATATCAAAGATAAATGTACGTGAATTAGAAGTTTACTAATACAATTCCGTGCTCAGAGATGAAGTTATTACATTACCCAGATCCAAATCCGGGGAACTGAGATGCTAGATCCCTTTTAAGTTTTGAACAGTCCCAGTGTGACTTGTAATTTCAGATGCTTTGTTGATTTCACTGACATTCTTAATACTCTGCTTGGATTTTCTGTGTGTACATATCAGATCCTACCAGATAGGCGAAGTCTTTTAATTCTGCTCTTTAAAGTTAAAACTCTCCATGCTAGTGATTTTTCCAACTGCCTTCTACTGCCTCTTCAAACCAAGCCAAACTCTCAAAGCTGTCATCATTCCAGCTTTCCCCTAGCATGCAATATTTTCTTTCCGCTTCTCTGGCCCTTCCTCGGAAGGAAGATTATGAACAAAGAATGCTGTGAACAACCTCCAAGAATAATTCAACTCTCCAGGAAAGCAGGAGAAACCAATTATGAGAATTAACATTGAAAGAGTTTACACAGAACTTAAGGGGGAAAAAAAAACTCTCTGAGGAAAGCCAGACTGAGTAGCAGAGTAAATAGGTTCAGTATTTCTTAGACGTTTTCAGTTCACTGAAATCCATTAGTCTAGCCTCTGAACTTGAGTCTCCTATCTCCAAATCCATGCATCTTTTTCACTAAGCCATACTCCTTCACTCATAGTCCTTAAGCGATTTCAGGATACATGAGATCTATGATTTGTTGACTATCATTCCCTCCTACAACCTTTATCTATACCAAGTCATGTGTGTCAATATGTATCACTGGCATATATATGTATACTATTCCCTCATTAATACTACCCTCACTCACCCCCATTCCCTGGTGAGAAAATCCATCATACCAAGACACGTCAAGATTATAACTGTATACACTTTATAAGTAAACACATTAATACAAAACCAATGTTCTGAAGCTGTCATTATTTCACCTTCAAGATAGAAATGCCTTGAAAGCAGGAAAGGCTTCTTATTCTCTGTCCTCCAGAGTGCCTTAGAGAGAGCTCTGTGCTGAGATCTAGTTTCTCTTGCTGATGTTTTCTAAGAAAACTCATGCTCTGTGACCTTACTCCTCAGAATCCATCAGTCCTCTGGCTGGAAAATAATTATATCTTTTTTTATACATCAGTTTCCACCACTTAGTCTTGGCTGCTTGCGGCTGAAGTAGTGGAACAGGAGCACACCAGTTGGAAAGAGATCACTAGATGTCATCCTTGCACCTTGTAATTACTTAAGTAAGTCTACGCAGTGCCTAGTTCTGTTAAAGAAACACTCTGAGAACACGGGATGGGAATCTCTGTTCCAGGTCGGCTGTCCGGAAGGTGACGGAACAATGCAGAAAGAAATTAGGACTACCACCAGCAGGCCATGCCCAGGAAAGATTTTGCTAGAAACAGTAGGAATACCTGCTGTCGGCTACAGACCAGCAATAATCGAGATCTTCGTGTCCTTACACAATCTAGCCTTTACCTGCGACCTCACCTCCTACCACTCTTCGGGACAACAAACGCGGGAGGTAGGAAGGGGCGACTGAGAGGCACGGAGCTGAAGCGACCCTGAAAACGAGGAGGAACCGGAGGCTCACACGAGGGCAGCGACACGGCTGAGGCTGCATTCTGAAAGACGCACACTGGGTGCAAAGCGGGAACTGGAATGGAAGCGGGTTACAAAGGAGGCAGGGAGGCTACTGAAAAGCAAAGACGCTGGATGGAGCGATCTGAAGAGTCTGGGGGAAGGAAGGACTTGTTAGTGGATCTGGGATGACAGCAGTGAAGCCCATGAGCTCAGCCTGGCGCAGGATAAGCCCACAGGGACGGCCCAGCGGAGCCTGAGGGTCAGGGCGAGAGGGGGAAGGCGGGCTCCGAGAGAGGACGCGGAAACCAGCCGGGAGAAAGCCCCTTCAGAGCCTCGGAGCGCCATCGCCAAACTGCCCGAGTGGCCTCCGACCCACCCGCGCCTCCCCCGGCTCGCCCGCTGACCGAACGAGTTGAGAAAGTCCGCGATTTTCTTGATGCTGCTGGTGATGACCTCAATGTACTCCCGGTTCGCCCAGTCCTGGTGAATCTCCCGCTGCACCGGATCTTCTTGACCCGCCATGGCTGCCGCCTGACGAGGAGCGACTGCGCAGGCGCCCCGACCCTCCAGGCCGGCAGTGCGTCTGCGCCGCGAGGCCACGCCCATGCCTTGGCACCCACAAATCCACGGACGCCGTGATGCGCCTGCGCGATGTCAAGTCCTCGCCTGCGTTTCAGTTCTGCTCCCACGCCCCTGAAAAAAGTCGCATCAAAGCCAACGGGGAGGGAGAATGGAGTGCGCACGCGCCGAGACACTCCCTACCCATCACGCACCCCGTCCCGGGTGGTTTTGGTCCTTGCGGGGCGCGGGACCACGTGACACACGCCGCCCCAGCTGCTGCAAACTAAGGTTGCGGTCTGTGACAGCAGTAAGTTGGCCACAGCCAATTAAGCCACATTAAATACAACTCGGTTTAAAAATGCCTTTCAAGGGGCGCCTGGGTGGCTTAGTTCGTGGGTTCGAGCCCCGCGTCGGGCTCTGTGCTGACAGCCAGCTCAGAGCCTTCGGAGTCTGTGTCTCCCTCTCTCTCTCTCTCTCTCTGACCCTCCGCTGCTCACGCTCTCTCTCTCTCTCTCAGAAATAAACTTTAAAAAAAGCCTTTCAAAAAATTAAAATTAAAATTAAAAAAATAAAATAAAAATGCCTTTCAACAACGCAACATGATGAGCCACCTTGCGTTCATCAAATGAACAAAATGTTATTTTTTTTTCTAAACAATAATACCAAGTGGTGGAGAAGCTGAGGGGGAAATGATAGGCTCCTAAATAGCTGGTCACACTGTAAACTGGCACACCTCCTTAGGGAAATTTGTAAACTGATAGCAAGAGCTGTCAAAAATTCAAACTTTTTTGACCTAATCATTAAGAAAATCGTTGAAAAAGGAGGAGGGAGAGACACTTTAAGCACAAAGGTGCTCTTCATAACATCTATTTTAAAAAACAAAACAACTATATCTCCACCGTTGAGGAGTGGCTAAGCAATGGTGGAGCCACCTAGGACAATATCATGCAGCTACTTAATATCATTAATTAATAGCATCAACATTAATTAATATTGCTATTTTTTAAATGGCAATTATGAACTCTGTGACAACATCACACGTGGTAAAGGAAGTGGAAAACAAAATAACAAATTTTCCTTGCAACTATATGAAATTACATCTGCTTGAGGACAAGAAGTAGATCCAAAAATGTCAAAGTCTGGTTTGCTAAAGTAGTGGAATTATGAAGAATTTTATATTGTTTAAGGGAATATTTACAATCTGCTTTGTGCAATACGTACCACTGGGAAGAAACCTTTACTAACAGTCCTTTACTGAGGAATTGTGATTTTACAAGCTATAAAGCTACTTTTGTAGCTGTTACCTCACTGGACCCTCACAAACCCTGTGGAAGGAAATCAGGAAGAGGTTTCTCTTGATGGCAAAGTTCAAGGTCGCACAGTCACATAAGTGGTGGACCTTCACCAGTTGATTCCTGACTCCAGTATCTTCTCGTTGTACCAATCTGAAAACAGGTTAAGGCCTATCTTGATCTCTCCTACATATTGATAGAAATGATTACTAAAATCGTAAATATCAACCCTAAACGTTGAACCTCAGGCATCCAGAGGGCTATTGTCTTTCAACAACCTGCTTCCAAAGCGATGCTGTTGAAGTTAGTATTGTGCTCACATGTCACAAAGAAATCAGAGAGATCTGCTTTTCCTTTTCTTTTTTTTAATTTTTATTTTAGAAAGAGAGCAAGCAGGGGAGAAGGGCAGAGGGAGAGAGAGAGAGAATCTCAAGCAGGCTCCATGCTCAGCACAGAGCCTCACATAGGGCTCGATCCCATGACCCTGGGATCATGACCTGAGCCAAGAGTGAGTCGCTCAACTGACTGAGCCACCCAGGCACCTGAGATGTGTTTTTCCTTCAGAGGCAGGGCGGGACATCTCCGTTTCAAATCACAAATCTACCAAAGATGAGTCACGTCACCCCTCTGAGCTTGTGTTTCTTCGTATGTAATAGAGGAATAACATGGATGGATTAGGATTGTTGGGAGAATTCGGTGAGAAAGGATAAGTAAAACACTAAGCACGGTGCCTGACTCTTCACAAAGCAGGCACTCATGAGTTTACATTTTCTCTTTACACAGAAAGCAGAAAATTAAGCACACGTATCTACCCAACTTTTTTTTTTTTTCCAGATTAATGGCCTTCCATGGACAAGTCAGGCTCAGCTCTTCTCCTTTCCCTGGACTTCCTGTACACCTGTTCTAGGCTCTCCCCTGTAATTCCAGGCAACTCAAGGATGAGGTGCTGTCCTAGAGTGAAGAATACTCCTCTGGACTTCTGCAGCTTTTTCCTATATGCCTCATGGAGCTTGCTGTCAGGCAGTCCTTCAGTGTGGGTTTGCCAGCGTGGTAGTTGTTCCCTGCAGAAATTGTTACCAGTGAGTGAGGCAGGCTTACAGAGGCAAGCCCTTCGGGAATGCTGCTGGTGCAACAAGTAGCGCCTCCCGGTGGCAGATTGCCTCAGCGGAGAACAAGGTTCCTGTTTTTAGATCTGTCATGTTTCACAGAACTCAGGGAATCTTGTTAACGACTTCATGTATAATAATCAGAGCGGAATCAAATTCTTGAAGAAATGTGTCAATTGCATTAAGCATGGTCGCGTGGGTCTTTTCTGCTATCGTATGCACCTAGACCATCATTGGTGCAGCTATGGATATCGCATGTGCACCATGGCAATGGTTGTTAGCCTCTTTAAAAGAACTGCACCATCTCTTAGCAGAGCAAATGTGGCTACTGTCATGACAGTCCCTGAGAACAGTGCACACAGAATGTTGAGCACTGGATCATGCAGACGAAGTTGATGTTGTAGGTCATCAGTAACATGCAATATGGGCGATTCTGGTTTTCCACATATGTGTGATAGCCATGGAGCTGGAGTATCGGAGCCAGAGGTGACAGCGAACTGCACCTCCGACAATGCATCCCTTAGAGCTGGACAGAGTGTGCAGAGGGCTGTGGTACAGAATGTCATAACAGCATGAAGCCCTCTCTATCCAACGACTTTTAATTATGCAATTTTGCTTTGGGGGTTTTAATATTTAAAAAGGCACAACTGTGCAATAAAAACTGTGTTGTTTGCTTTTTAAATAGCAATGTCTCTTTTATTCAAGAGGAAAATAAAAAGAAACTTGCTGGAAAATGATTTGCAATTCAAATCATTTCAGTCTCTTCCAAGATTAGACTCATCACTCTCTGTCCCTCTCTCCATTTTCTGACTTCCCTTCCAAACTCTCCATTTTTCTTTCCTTTCACAGGGTGCTCCCCCCCCCCAACACACAGAGCGCATATGATAATTCTTGATCTCTGCCCCTTAAGACCTCTTGATCCTCAATACCAAGACCATCTGGTCTTCCAAACCAGGATCTTCGCCTGACTCCACCCCAATGCCGCCCACCTCTCCTGTTCAGCTTCAGCCAAAGAGCCAGATAAAAGGTGACAGTTCTTATTTGTGCTGTGCTCTATAGGTGGAAAAGTATAAGGGCAATTTCTGGGTAACGTAAGGGCAGGAAGGACCATTAATTTAATTCTCACCACAAGTACTTCATACTGCCAGGCACTGGGGAGGATATAGGAATCAATTGGGTAGACCTCTCCTCCCCCCCCCCCCCCAGCCTTCCAGGGAAATTGTTTGCAGTGACACTTACAAAGTTGTCAAATCACTCTTTCACTCTGGTGAAACGGTCAGTTCTTCAGCTCTGTGAGAAGAGGATAGTGTTGCCTTTTTGGGGAGTTAATAGAAGGCAGAAAAAAGATTTTTGGTTAGGAAGTCAAGGGAAGACATGTACCTGTCTTCTTGTTTATGAGCGGTGAGCACTTATAAAGACGGTCTCCTTGTGCTGGGACCACTCCAATGCAGCAATAAAAGCTTTCATCCTGAATACCCCTGAGCACAGTTTAAAGAGCAAAGACTGGGGCTCCTGGGTGACTCAGTCAGTTGAACATCCCACTCTTGATCTGGGCTCAGGTCATGATCTCAGGATTCCCGAGACGGAGTCCTGAGTTGGGCTGTGCAATTACAAACCAGAGCCTGCTTGGCATTCTCCCTCTCTCTCCTCTCTCTCTCTCTCTCTCTCCACCCACCTCTCTGCCCCTTTCGCACTCGCATGCACGTGCGTGTTCTCTCTCTCTCCCTCTGCCCCATTCAAAATAGACTCAAAAAAAAAAAAGAGTGAAGACTAAGTCAATACTAACTACTAACTACAAGTCCTGGGACTTCTATGCAGGTTCCTGACCACACCTTTTTTGAAGTGACGACCTCAAAAGCACACAGGTGTAGCGGGGTGGGGAGGAGGAGGGAGAATGGAAAAGACAGGATAGGAACCCGCACTCCTGGAGGCGGAGTCTTGGACAAAGGGTTCCAAGCAGGTGGAGGTGGAGAGTCTAGCCCGGACACACCCCCAAGCCGGGCTCCTCCAGCCCCCACCCCCGCGGCGGCTCGGGCTTTCTGCGAAGTCCTGGGTCACAAAGGCGGTTGCCAGGCGCCCGGCGGAAAAGAGATGCGGCCCGGGAACAGCGGCCTCCACTCTGGAGTGTGCGGCTCGCGGAATTCAGCCGGTGAGCCCCTGGCCCGGATGGTGGGACCGGGCCTGGGCTCCCACCGCCACCTCCGCCTCGGCCAGAGCCGTCTGGTCCCCACCCCCAGTTAGGGACCCACAGGGGACAAGCCCCTTCTTCCCGCCGGGAGGGGGAGAGCCTCCCCACTCTGGGCAGCTTCAGCCTCTCCGGATCGGGATCGCAGCTCACAGTTCACGAGGACCTCAGCTGCACCTGGACGCTTACTTCCCGTTTCCCAGGTGGGGAAATCGAGGGACCTGGTTCCTTGGAACGGGAGGAGCGTGTGAAGGGGAAGACTTTCTGGCCAGGAGTACAAGGTGTTCCCTATCTGGGAGCTATTAAAGCAGTTTAAACAGACTTCCAAGGTTGAACCCCTACTGGAGTGGATGACTGTGATTTCGGGTGGTGGGAGTGGAGGGGTGAATCGTCTGGATTTAAACCTTGTGTGCAAGTGGCGTGAAGACCCGGTTCAGAAGGCCCCTCATCCAAGGTTGGGTCTGCCCAGTACTTAAGGCGGGACATCTGATAAAGCCTTTTACCTCCAGCCCTATCTGCTCTTAGGAGTGAAGGAGTCAGGAAAAAGATCCTGGGATTGAGTAATCTTTCTTTTTTGGTCATATGCTGAGGAGGTAACACCCTCCACATCCCACCTTGACATGGTGCTGTACCAGTGCAGCCCTGATCTTCGACATACTCTCACTGGGTGAGGATATCAAGCATCAGAAGACTTTCATAGGATGTTTGTAATAGATAACCACCACTTCTGTGCCAATTTCTCATCCTGAGGCAGTCCAGATATTTGAACACAGTATGTGAAGGAATGTACAAAGGACAAATCTAACAGTTGAAGGAAATCAACAAACAAACCTCCTTTATCCTAAGCACTGTCAGGGACAGGTTTTCTGATTTGAAATGTCACCAATAACTCTTTTGTTATAATTCAAATGCCCCGCCTTTTGTTTTTATTTTTTCCTCCAAAAAGAGGTCCTAATGGTTTTATTAATTAATTAATTTATTTATTTATTTACTTTCTATTTCTTCTCAAGTTAACATGGTATAGTCTTGGTTTCAGGAGTAGAATCCAGTGACTCATCATTTACACATAACAGCAAGTGCTCATTCCATCAAGTGTCCATCACTCATTTTCCCCACCCCCAACAACCCTCAGTTTGTTCTCTATATTTGAGTCTCTTATGGTTTGCCTCCTCCTGTTTTATTTTTCCCTCCTTTCCCTTATGATCTTCTGTTGTTTCTCAAATTCCACATGAGTGGTATTTTGGGATATCTTTCTCTGACTCCATTTGCTTAGCATAATACCCTCCAGCTCCATCCACATTGTCACAAATGGTAAGACTTCATCTTTTTTTTTTTTTATTTCTAGAGAGAGAGAGAGCGTGAGCAGGGGAGGGTCAGAGAGAGAGGGAGTCACAGACTGAAACAGGCTCCAGGCTCTGAGCTGGCAGTCAGCACAGAGCCCGACGCGGGGCTCGAACCCACGAACCGTGAGATCATGACCTAAGCGAAAGTTGGACGCTTAACCGACTAAGCCACCCAGGCGCCCCAAGACTTCATTTTTTCATTGCCAAGTAGTATTCCGTTGCATGTAGGTGTATATACACATGTGTATATATATCCAATAGTTGAAAGTGCTGTTATAAACATTGGGGTGCATATGCCTCTTTGAATCAGCATTTTGGTATCCTTTGGATAAATTCCTAGTAGTGTAATAGCTGGGTCACAGGATAACTCTATTTTTAATCTTTTGAGGAACCTCCACAGTTTTCCGGAGTGGCTGCACCAGTTTGCATTGCAACGAACAGTGTAAGAGGGTTCCCCTTTCCCCACATCCTCACCAGCCTCTGTTGTTTCGTGAGTTAATTTTAGCCACTCTGACCAGCGTGAGATGATACCTCAGTGTGGTTTTGATTTGTATTTCCCTGATGATGAGTGATGTTGAGCATTTTTTCATGTTGGCCATCCGGATGTCTTCTTTGGAAATGTGTCTATTGATGTCTTCTGCCCAGTCTTTCCACTGGATTGTTTTTCAGGTGTTGAATTTGATACGTTCTTTGTAGTTTTTGATACTAACCCTTTATCCGATGTCATTTGCAAAGATCTTTTATTCCATCAGTTGCCTTTTAGTTTTGTTTCCTTTGCTGTGCAGCAGCTTTTTATCTTCATGAAGTCCCAATAGTTCATTTTTGCTTTTATTTCCCTTGCCATCAGAGACACGTCAGGAAGTTGCTGCAGCCGAGGTCAAAGAGGTGACTGTTCTCTCCGATAGAATTTTGACGGTTTCCTGTTGCACCTTTAGGTCTTTCATCCATTTTGATTTTATTTTTGTGTATGGTGTAAGAAAGTGGTCCAGTTCTCCCAGCCCCATTTGCTACACTTTTTTTCCATTGGATACTCTTTCCTGCTTTGTTGAAGATTAGTTGGCCATATATTTGTGGGTCCATTTCTTGATTTTCTCTTCTATTTCATTGATCTGTTTTTGCGCCAATACCATACTGTCTTGATGATTACAGTTTTGTAATACAGGTTAAAGCCTGGGATTGTGATGCCTCCAGCTTTGGTTTTCTTTTTCAACATTACTTTGGCTATTTGGGATCTCTTGTTACATACAGATTTGAGGACTGTTTGTTCTTGCTCTGTGAGAAGGCTGGTGCTGTTTTGACTGGGATTGCATCGAATGTGTAGATTGCTTTGGGTAGTATTGACATTTTCACATTTGTTCTTCCAATCCATTATTTCCATTTCTTTGTGTCTTCAATTTCCTTCATAAGCTTTCTATAGTTTTCAGCATACAGATCTTTTACCTCTTTGGTTAGGTTTATTCCTGGATATTTTATAGTTTTTGATGTAACCAACAACTCTTTTTTAAAAATGAACTTTACTGTCTCTCAAACTATGGTGGAGGAGTCAACTTTTCACATTTTGTGGGCAATTACTGGATAGGATGGGATCAGATCCGCTGCTGTTATGTTCTGTGGGAGAAGAGAGAAGGGGCAGAGAAATACACTTGACTGGAAAGAAAAGGGAACTGCTATGCCCCTTAAAACAATAGGTAGGTGCTCAAAAATGTTAGCTTCTTAATTCAGTAAAGCCTTTAATATACCGGCAATTTTAGAAGAGAGAACGATGGAAAATCCAAATTCTGCTTGAATAAATTTTGAGTTAGCAACATCCTCCCAGCCCTTTCCTTTTCCTTTAAGGGGGGAAAATCACAATCTTAACCCCAGGGTCTCCCATAACAAACCGAAGTCAAAAATAAAACACACCTAGAGGAATCAGAAAAATGTTTAAAAATTTATTTAAAGATTGTCCTTTGGAAACTTTCTTTCCTTCTAGCCTGGTGTAACTCCTCTGAGGTGGTACTTAAGTAGCCAGGGCTCTGAGAGAGCTGTTCTTTTATCTCAGAAAACAGGTTTTTAGGGCCAAGAGGAGGCGGTCTCCATAACTGAAAACCTAAGTTCCTAAAAAGGGACAGCATCGGAAGTTCTCAAATAGTAAGTGCACTGAATACTCTAGAAGGTTTGTTTAAATGTAGATTGCAAGGCCCCACCCCCAGTTTCTAATTCTATGGGTCTGAGGCAGGGCCCAAGAATGCTCATCCCTACATTTCTAGATGTACTAGCAAAGCTGCTAGTGCCAGGACGTACTTTGAGAAACACCGGTATAAATAAAGTGTATGGGATTTAGAGTCACAAATATCTGGTAAGACAGGAGTTTCTGAGCTTCTGACCACAAATAATGTCTCATCATGAAGTGCCTGCAGCCTCTGCCACTTCAGAGGTGTAGATTCTGTCTTTAGCAGTTATAATGGTGGACCAGGGTATTCCGCTTTGGACAAATCCATTTCCTCACCTGTAAAATAGGTGAAAACCTACCTACAGAGGCTTGTGATAAGACTTCATAAGGTTTTAGTACACAAAGCAGTTGCCAGATTCAATACTTGAGACCATCCACTACTGCGCTTTACAGAATTACTAGTCCCCTGGCATCCATTGGAGTCTGTTAATGAGGACTACAGAATAAGTTACAGTCAATAATGAAACAAATAAATGTGAATTTAAACAGCCATGCCCTCACCAAAACCATGCTAGGGAAATTCCATGTTCTGATTCCTCTTCTTTAGGACTGTCAATGGCAGGATACCAGCTCTGGTCACCGTGGACCCCACTGGACGAGAGCTTCCAATGGCTGCGGCACACAACACCTACACCTTCTTCAAAGCACCCTTTTAGGGCTTCCCCCTGCTTCCCACATACCCCTTCTGACCTTGAAGTGCAGCTGTGCTTTCAAGAGGTCACTCTAGTTCTAGACAGCCCATTCCTGGAGCCTGGGGCGAGTCCCAAGTTACCCTGCCACACATCAGAGCTCCAAGCCATGAGCAACAAGAAAGGGCTGGTCAGGAAGCCCCAGCCTGTCCGCCTCAGTGGAGTGGATTCCGTGTTTGGCAGGGTCATCACAGCTCAGCCACCAAAATGGACTGGAACCTTCAGAGTTTCAGACAAATCAGCCTTTTGCAAAATCATCAGCCGGGAGCACCAGTGGCCCACTGGACTTAAGGAACCTCAGATTCAGATGACAGTGACCATGTGCAAACAGATGCTGCGCTCTATCCTCTTACTGTACGCAACATACAAGAAGTGCACCTTTGCCTTACAGCACTCCAAGTAAGAAGTCCCATCTGATTCCTGTTCCTTACACCGTGCCCTTCGCTATGTGTGTGAAGCTTACAGAAACCTGTCCCTGTAAAGGAAACTGACATCACCCAGGCCACCTTGCTCTTCTGTTAAGCAGTGACAATTCAGGAATCCCTTTTCTCCTTTCCTCCTCCAAAGAAGGCCAGTGACCAGAGCAAGGGAGAACATTTCCATTGTAAAGCTGAACAACATTTAACAGAGAGTCAAACTAGCATTGACATGTACGTGTGATAAAGAACCATTAAACCATATAAACCAATGAGCCTAGTGTGAACTCACTTAAACATCTAAGACCACATCATGTTCCCCGAACATGAGTTGGGGAAACAAAGGGGTGTCAAAGGAGATTATGGATTTCCATGTACATGAGGATGAAGGGGTCAAAAAGCTATAGATGACTCAAGGATTAAAAAACAAATAAAAAATAAAACCACCTCCCCCACCAAATGAACAACAAAAACCCGTAACCAACCACATCTTAATGCCACTGGAGAGTACCAAAGTGAGTAGAAGTATTAACAAATATTAAATATTTATAGCCTGGCAAGAAAGAACTTGGAAACAGCAATGAAACTGGGCTTTCTGGACGAACACAAGACAGCCCCCCATTTTAGCTGTTGTTCTACTATTCTATTTCTAATAAACTACAAGTAATTTTGTAGCATTATTGTAACTAGATTATAGGTATAACTCAGAATAATGTGGAAATAAACACATATACAAAGTCAACATGAGTTTGATGGTGCCTTTTCCCTTTGTCTTTTATCTACAGGATGACCAGAAAGCTTTACAAAAGCAGCCAGAATTTTCCTTTTGACTTTCTTTGGGGAATTGTACAGAAATTTGTCACTCCTCCAAAAATGTCACAAAGATCTTCTCAAGTAAAGATGGTCCTTAGAATAGGAAACGTACGATTTTAATTGGTAGAATTTCCATTATTTCTCCACACAAACCCCAACTGAATTCCATGTAATCCCTGACTTATGAAGGAAGTTCAGAAAGAGGAACGAGATAGTTCAGACAAAACTGAAAACAGAATTTATTTGTAAAACCAGTACAATCTTCAATTCTAAGAGTTTCAAAACTAGCTCCCAAAGCCCAGAATCGTGATTATTCTGCAGCACAGCACGGCCACGTTTGCCCAAGACCAGTGAGTAATGCTAGAGGAGCCACAGTCTTCGATGCTGAGAGACAACTTATGAAATTCACAACTAAGCTGACTCAGTAAAGCCCACCACCCCAGGGACAAAATAGGATGCTTCCAGGAAGGAGGGCAGACAGATTTCAAACCCTAGACACAAACCGGGAAGAGGCTAGCAAAGACGGGGAAGGGGCAGCAGTCTCTCTGTGGGCTAATCGGAGTCATCCTCACTCTCATCACTATCTTGCTCCTTTTCTCCATCACTTACTTCATCTTCACCATCCTACGAGGCAAAGGATAATTAGATGTTTTAGGTCATCTGAGTAACTCTGAATTACAATACTGCTCCCATAGCATTTACAACTGTAGTGTATCATTGTTAAAACCAATGACGGGTGTTAAACCATTCATCTGAAGAAGGAATTGAGGCGTTCCCATTATTCTTCTATCATGACCTCTTAAGTCAAGACCATGGAGGGAGGCCACTGTGATAGCAACCTATGACATTCTGCAACGAAACCAAATTCACATGATTTTTACATAAGCCATGGTCCTCCACCTCTACTGCATGTGTGTGACATAGAACCAAATAGGCACTCAATGTCGAATGAAATGTTTGCTAACTTAAAAATTCTAGTGTGGGGGCTCCTGGACGGCCTCAGTTGGTTGAGCGTTCGTCTTTGGCTCAGGTCATCATCTCACGGTTCGTGGGTTTGAGTCTTACATCGAGCTCTGTGCTGACAGCTCAGAGCCTGGAGCCTCCTTCAGTTTCTGTGTCTCACTCTCTCTGTCCTTCCCCTGGTTGCACTCTATGTCTCTCTTTCAAAAAAAAAAAAAAAAGAATAAACAAAAAAAAAATTCTGGTGTGGGGCGCCTGGGTGGCTCAGTCGGTTAAGTGTCCGACTTCGGCTCAGGTCATGATCTCACGGTTCGTGGGCTCGAGCCCCACACTGGGCTCTGTGCTGACAGCTGGCTCAGAGCCTGCAGCCTGCTTCAGATTCTGTGTCTCCTGCTCTCTCTGACCTTCCCCGGCTCACGCTGTCTGTCTCTCTCTCAGAAATAAATAAAAAACATTAAAAAAGAAAAAAGAAAAAAAAATTTTAATGAAAAAAATAATTCTGATGTATCTCAACAGGAATTCAGCATAAAATTCTTTGGTCAGTAGAGGTGCTTAAGTGGCTCAGTCAGTTAAGCATCTGACTTCTGCTCAGGACATGATCTCACAGTTTGTGAGTTCAAGCCCCGCGTCGGGTTCTGTGCTGACAGCTCAGAGCCTGGAGCCTGGAGCCTGCTCTGGATTCTGTGCCTCCCTCTTTCGATGCCCTGCCCCTGCTCAAACTCTGTCTCTCTTTCTCAAAAATAAATAAACATTAAAAAATTTTTAAAAATCTTTGGTCTACAGCTCTAATCTGGGAGTCTTGCTTAGGAGAAAAGTACCAAAGTAGTAAGACACTGTCTGCTTCAAAAATTTTTTATGAGAACAAGGTAGAGGTACAAATACAACAGAGGACCATGTAATAAAAACATTTTTCGTATTAAATGATCTTTCTCAGCCTCATATTCCATTACGGAGAGGCTTTACAGCAAGGGTTCTTAAATCGGAACTTCTTGGTGTCCATAACCCACCTGAACTGTAACAAAATTTAATAAAAATATACATTTTTCTTCAGCTTTCTGTAAAATCCTGAAAGTATCCATAATAGCCCAGAAAAGAATAAGGACCCCTACCCTTACTGTAGTCCTTAGTGTTTGCAGCCTTTGATTCTGTCCTTTAGCTTTCACCAAATGCGTTCATATATATTTTGTATATTCACACAACATATTTAAATGGTTTAACTCTTTCTTCTCAACACTCAGAGAACACCTGAATGCTTCTTTTCTCCTCTCTAAAACGGTTTTTTCAACTCCATAATATATGCCATAACTTGAGATAGTCTTTTGGCCCCCACAAAATTCATATAAAAACAGAAGCTTTTCTGGAGGGAAAGGAGAAGGGCACAGAAGTCTTTGATTATAAATGTAAGCAGGGAGGGGTGCCTGGCTGGCTCGGTCAGAGAGTTGCGACTCTTGATTTCAGGGTCATAAGTTCGAGCCCCACGTTGGGTGTAGAGATTTCTAAAATAAAAAACAAACAAACAACCCCCCCCATAGGGGCACTTGGGTGGCTCAGTTAAGCATCCAACTCTTGATTTCAGCTCAGATCTTTCTCATGATTGTTAGAACAAGCCCCACATTGAGCAGTAAGTGTTGAGCCTGCATGCTCGCTCTTTCTCTCTCTCTCTAAAACAAATAAACATTGGGGCGATTGAGTGGCTCAGTCAGTTAAGCATCAGACTTCGGCTCATGTCATGATCCTGCAATTCGTGAGTTTGAGCCCCGCATTGGGCTCTGTGCTGCTTCAGATCCTCAGGTCTCCCCTGCTCACACATGCACACTCGCTTACAAAAATAAACATTAAAAAAAATACAGGGGCACCTGGGTGGCTCAGTTGGTTAAGCATCCAACACTTCTTTGGCTCAGGTCACATCTCACAGTTTGTGAGTTTACGACTCACACTGGGCTCTGCACTGAGAGCACAGAACCTGCTTGGGATTCTCTCTCGCCCCCCTGCTCATGCTCTCTCTTTTTCTAAAAATAAATTTAAAAACTTAAAAAAAAAAAAAAATAAACCAAAAAAAAAAAAGTAGTTCCAACTCACAAGGATCTAAGATTAAGAAAAAAAAAAAAAAGCAAGTTCTGTACTTTCCAGTGACTCAATAATCAACAAAATGCAAGGCAACTGCACACTCCGGGGCCTTATGCAGAGATACCTCTGTTTTGCTCTTGGAGGCCTGGGATGGCATATTCTCCTCACTCTCCTCGGCTGTGCTCTCCTGGGAAGTCTGGGACAGTATCTCTTCACCCTAAATGCGGACGGGCCAAGACACATGGTGGGTTATAATAAACATATTTGGGGGCTCAAGGGGAGAAAGGCTTAGTTTGCAGACAACAGAAGATATTCTAGCCCTTCAAACATGGTTAAACACAGACACCAATCTGTGAATCTAGCATCTAGAGAAGTAAAAATCACACTTTCTGAGATAAATGTGGCTCCAATATAATACAGTTTTATAAAAAGTCTGTTGTTGTATTCTAGTATCATAATAGATTTTACAAGGCCAGGATGTGACTCAGTTAGTGTTGAGTATCATTCTAAAATTTCCCAAATACCTTAAGGTATATGACCACCAACACACCAACTACAAATGGCCACGCAGAAGCTGACTCAAATCCTGGCACCTCTCACTAACTGCTAAATGACTTTAGGTAAGTTACTTAACCTCTGAGATTTACTGTTCTCATGGAAACTATAGTACTGTTTTCTTTTTTAATGTTTATTTTTGAGAGACAGAGTGTGAGCAGGGGAAGGGCAGAGAGAGAAGGAGACACAGAATCTGAAGCAGGCTCCAGGCTCTGAGCTGTCAGCACAGAGGCTGAGGTGGAGCTTGAACTCACGAACCACAAGATCATGACCTGAGCTGAAGTCGGACGCTTAACCGAATGAGCCACCCAGGCGCCCCACAGTATTGTTTTATTATAGTATTTTGTTTAATAGTATTGTGGAAGAGGCACCTGCGTGGCTCAGTCAATTAAGTGTCTGACCCTGAAGTCTGTAATGACTCGGCTCCAGTCGTGATCTCATGGTTACTTACTTTGAGCCCTGTATTGGGTTCTCCACTGTCAGAGTGGAGCTTGTTAGGGGTTCTGTTTCCTTCTCGCTCTGCCCTTCCCCTGCCTGTTCTTTATCTCTCTCAAAATAAACAAAAATAAACTTCAAGGAAACTAATTCTCTGGCGTGCTAGTCTTTTCATATATAAGATTATAAAACCCTCAGCTACTGTAAACATGAATGAGAAGGACTTGTACCCTATATAGAAATTGCTGGGGTGCTTGGGTGGCTCTGTGCTGACAGCTCAGAGCCTGGAGCCTGCTTCAGATTCTGTGTCTCCCTCTCCCTCTGCCTCTTCCCTGCTCACATTCTCTCTCTCTCTCTCAGTCAGACAGCTGAAAGACCTTAGAAATGTCAATTTGTTAAAAACAGGCAGAGAATAATTTCAGGAATAAGACAGACTGGTTAGAAAAAAACCCAAGGGGTGCCTGGGTGGCTCATTAGGTTAAGCGTCTGACTTCAGCTCAGGTCATGATCTCGCAGCTTGTAAGTTCAACTCCCGCGTTGGGCTCTGTGCTGACAGCTTGGAGCCTGGAGCCTCCTTCAGATTCTGTGTCTCCCTCTCTCTCTGACCCTCCCCCCACTCACACTCTGTCTCTGTCTCTCTCAAAAATAAATAAACTTAAAAAAAAAAAAAAGAAAAAACTCAAAATGATTTTTTAAAAACTTTGTCCATATAAAAAATGTCGTGAATCTACCACCAGTAGGACTTACGGGAGCCCACTCTGCGTGAGGAGGGAGGTTTTACTGATCTGGCTCTTCTATCTCTGAGCCCTGTTACTATCAGTGGCATGTTTTGGTGCCTCTGCTGGCTACGATGAGGGGTGGAGCCCATACTAAGACCAGAAGCAATGCACCCTAACTTTAAGAGCAAAACGGCCACAGGTTTAAAAGAAAAACAGTCTTATTGAGAGACCAGGGCTCAGTTGACCTCCTTGACATACCTTCTGATGCTCTCACCAAGGCGGGAGTAGATGATCACTGGCAGGCCCCTAGGCTTACCTGCAAGTCCCGGTTTTTGAGGTTGCCCAGCCAGAAAGCCTCCCTGCAATTGTTGAAGATGAGCATGGCTTTCACTCTGCAAACTAAGAGCTCCAGGGTCTTTTTGAGCAAAGGCACGTGTTTGGTGAGCTTCATGTCCTGGTGAATCTGAATAGAAACAAATGCATCCAACTCACCTGGACCGATCAGCATGCGCTCACGTTGCTACACAGAAACCTGCGCACTCCCGACATCTCGAGCACTGACTAACAGCACAAGTCCTCCCAGTACAGGCCGAGGACCGGGTGTGGCAAACTATCCAAAAGAGAACGGCAGCTGTCCTTCAAGCCAGAAGAGCCTAGAAGACCTACCACTGACACCTTTGGTTCTTCTTAACCTCTTAGTCACCAATTATCAATGAATTTACCTCAAATATTCTTGAGTATGTATTACACTGACATCAAACTACAGAGTATCCCTTACAACTCCACTGTTCAGTGCCTTCTAAGGTTAGAACCAAGGGGGGAGATGAGCATAGGAACTGGATTGAAAAATTATTTGGTTTGCCTGTGACTACAGAGCTCTAAGGTTCCGTGTGCCTTCAGACAAAAAGTGACAATGGTCCAACTGTAGGCCTCAGGTGGAAAAATCCTCTAATGGTAAAATGTTCTCACGAGAGACAGATGTGTTCTTTGACAAGTCAGTAGAGCTGCGAAGCTCTCAAGATGGCTGCTTTTAGAACCACCTCTTGTCTCTAGCGGAGAATCATCCCTTACATAATATTCCTCCCACCCAGAGCACTTCATAGCAGCAACACATCCACCAACATTCTCTCTCTCTCACCAAAGAGAAGCTTCTACAGGAAACAGTGCTATGGAGTTTGAGTCAAACTTCGGATGCAGAAACTGCCCTCTACGTGACTGCCCAATTGCAATTAGCAGCTAAGGCTCTGACCATTATGAATGAAACTATCTCTAGACAGACACAGTCTCAAAAATCAAGACTCAAGAAGGGTAAAAAAGGATGAAGGAACTGGAGCCCATGGATCTCCTGATTGCACTGAGATTAAGCCAACAGGCAGGATGACGCAATGGCTTGCTTTCCCCTCTTACCTTAGAATGCCCACACAGATGATGAAGCAGCCTCGTATTCAACTGGAAGGTTTCCAGTAAGCTCAGAACATCTTCCTACATAACCAACAAAATTCACAAATGCCAATTTAAATTCTCTTATTTCATTTTTTTTCTTTTTTTTGCTCTCATTTCATGTTAGATGCAATCAAGGGCTCCAGAGAGGACAAACCCGCAGGTCCCAGCCTTGTATTGGTAATCATCTCAATTTGGCCCTCAAAGTGAGGACTAACTAGCTGCCCTCCCCCTTCTCTCTCTAGGTTAGGAGGAATCAACCAAATACTGTGAGAGTATCTTGCAAACTCGCTAAATACGTGTAAGAAATCATCTTTTGTTTCTATCCTTATTTCACTACTCCAACCCTGGATCTCACTCGGCCAAAAAAACCACTACAGACTATCTGTTACAACAGCAAAAAGCTTCTAACGCAGTGAGCCGTTTATTACTATTACTATTATTATTATTATTATTATTCCTGAGGGGAGACCTAGAGAAGTGCCAAGAAATATGCAAATGACATCCTGATACATGAGGTGCTGGGAGTGCAGCAACAAAATAAATCAAGCTGAGAAAAACAACTACCCCCAGATTTGGAGTAAAAGTAGAAAGGGGGGTTTAAATCAGAGTGGGTCTGAGTTTAGCCTACTTTGGAATATTCCATCCAATACGGGCATCTTGGTGATAGCGGAAGTGGGCCGAAAGAGCCCCAGAACAGTGCTCTGGGTCCTGGAAAGGGGACCGCCCCCATCCCCCCAGCCCAGGAGTCACCATGGACGTATCTTCTGAGTAACTGTCCAGAGCACATCTTTCCTCTGTGTTCTCGGTTCTTACCCGGTGTTTTCTAAAACTGAAGTCTAGGAGTGGCATACACTGCTTCAGAAATGCTTCCACAAAGAGACGTCCATACTGAAGAAGAGAAGAGACACCTGGTGATGACCTCTACTGAGGTCTTTCATCTCAACGGCCCCTGCCTGAGGTAGCATAGCATCACTCAGCCCAGGGGCTTTATTTTCTTATTTTTGTACATAAAAAATAAATGGGAAGGAATCCAAAAAGTCAATTTGGAGAATATAAGTTTAATTCAAAAGCTAAACGGGCCTGCTAGCTAAGCCTCAGAGTTAGGCAGACTGACCTACCCTAGACAGAGACCATGGGCAGAAGCCCTGATCTGTGTAAGAATGAGAGCACAGAACACAGAGGGGGACCCCATCTTCCTAAGGACCACTTACGCCCAAACGGAAACAGGTATAGAGCTGAGGAAGCACATAACCAACTGCCAAATTTAATAATCAGATAAACCACTCTCCCTACTCGCCCATCTCCCACACTGGAAGCAGTGCAGAGTGAGTAAAGAGGAAGAGAGGGACTAGAAGATAACAAGAATAAGGTGCTATTCTCTTGGAAGGAACCATCAGGAGAGGGAAAGACACAATCTCCTCAGAACATTCCCTAGCTCCTGTCATCAAATCTAGGGCTAATCTGCGCTCTCCCTTTGGGAGAGGAGTTCACTGGTTATCAGGATACCAGCTTCCACATCCATGAGACCAGCCATGGGCTTTAAAAAGAGGAATCACCCACTCATCCTCCCTCTCTATTGCCTGGGAAGGAATGGCAGCAGTGACTTTTGCTCTTAATGTCAGCCACCCTGAAGCCACTCCTGCTAGTTCTAAGACTCAAACCGAAAGTTTTCAAACTCATAGCAAAATTAGCTTCTCTAGTCACCCAACTAGTATGGGAAAAGATATTGTCTTCCTAAACTACTGTTAGCACAGATTCTGAAAATTCTGGCTAATGGACAAAGTATGAAGCAACTCCTTTCAGCTGAGGCCATCTCTAGAGAGATCCACAGGAAGAATACATACTAATGAGGGCCAGGTTATTTTCTCACCTTCAAACATACATGCAGAACAGGACGACTATCAAACACCTGGAGACACAAAAGAAACCAAAGCTGAGGTCTGCTCCTTTGAGCACCCCCAGCCTCTTCCCTGTTGTGCAAATCACAGCTCTGGGTGTGGAAGAGAATTCTAAAATGAAGAAGGCATGTCAACAGTTCATTACAAAACAGAAATAAAGTAACCACCATCAGTGAAATTCAAAAAAAGGAAGAGGGAAGCAAAGAAGAGTAAGAAATTTACTCTAACTCAGGATATTAAGATGGCGCTGTAGAGGTCCAAACCTTGGTGCGAACGAAGTCTGAAGAAGGATGGACTGAGGCAGAAAGGAGAGAGAATGACACCCTGAGCGGGGAGAACACCCTAGCAAAATCATGGAGTGGGTGAGAGCACACACTGTGTCTGAGGGCATATAAAGAAGGCATTCTGGACTGGAAAAGGGAGACAGTGGGAATGTACTCAGATCCCAGAGGACCCAGGACAAGGTGAGATCTGTTTAGCAGTATTGTGGCACAGACAGGGAAGGAGGAAGGAAGAGAAGGAAAACGACATTGCTTAGGGACAGAAGAAGGGATTACCCAGGATGGGTAGACAGATAAGGGAAGAAGACAGGGAAGAACCGGCCCCCTAGGAAGGGTGGGGAAAGGAACAGGAAGGCCCATTTTAGAAGTCAGGACCCTTGCTGGTTTCTGTAGTTAGCTGTTGAGGTGGGTCGAGGAGCCTTCACACTCACCTTTATTAAGTTGATGAGGATACTGAAGTCTCGAACAGCCATGTTCCAGTAGAGGAGCTTCTCTTCATGAATCTGGGGGTAATCAAATATATAGGCACTTCTGAACCAGCCAAGTACTTCTACTCTTGTATTCCCACTAATATATGGGTCTCGGATTACAAAGCTATTCAGGGATTAATTTACGCCAGTTACTCTCTCAGGGATGTTACCAGTGTACCCACAAGATGGTTCTGAGCCCCGCATCTATATAACACTAAGGTACCTCAGAGACAGTTTCTAAAAAGAAGACTCCTCTTCAGGAACTTCTAAATAGGAAAAAGCCTCCGCAACACACCTGCTGGTGTTCAGACCCCTGTGGCTTCTCTGATACTGATGCTCTCCACAGTCTAGCTCAGTTCTGGTTACGGGACTGCCAAGGCCCAGCACCACAGCATCTTAAACAGGCCTGCTCACCTCATGGCAGCTCACAAGCAGCAAGCTGCCAGACATGGGGCCAAAGACATTTTTTCCAGGGCTATGGCTCATGGAGCAGCCTGAGCCTTCCCCTGGACAGCAGCCAAGGAATATAGAATCCAATTCTCCCTCAAAATGAAGGGAAGGAAATTAAACCAAGAGCTCTTTGAAAAAGAATCCTGGGTCTCTGTAACTCAAAGGAAGCAGCTTAGAAGAAAACCTGGACCCAAGAAATAGAAGACACGGCAGCTTCCTAGTAACCAGGTCTACCTCTTGTGCTGCGAGTACCTGACCCACCTGGTGCGAGTCTGCTGCTGTGCCAGCCTGAAGACTTTTCACTGTCTTCTCTAGTTCAGCCATCATCACACGGAAGAAAATGACAAATGTGTGCCTAAAAGAGGAGAAAAGACGCACACCCACACATGGATGTCTGGTTAGACAGAACTTCCCAGGAAGAAACCAAGGAGCCAAAAATCATTTCCTTCCCCACCTCTCTGAATTTCCTTTCACTAGGGTCCACTGTAAAAGGATGGGGCGGGGGGGGCGGGGGCTGAAAGGATTAAAAAAGGAGTCCAAGACGAAGGCCTGTGAGACAACGGAATTAAATCTATGAAGGAAGATGGTGTAGTGGCCTGGAAAGAGCCATGAGGTAGTAGTAAGAAGATCTGAGTTGAAATTCCTAGTTCCATACTTTAAGCCTGTGTAAGTCTGAGTTAAGTTCCCCTCTCTAACACTCATTTTCCTCATCAGTACAACAGGGATAATGATACCTACTCACAGAATCACCGAAAGGATTAAATGACAGAGAATGCGAAAGTGTTTTATAAACTTCGTATGAGACAAAAACCCATGGAGATGTACACATGATCAGATACTCACTTGTAAAGGATGAAAGTACTAACAAGACACATTTGTTGACTTTTTAGTGTCTTTGAAGACTCTATGGAAAATTCATTCAGGGCTGAGAACCCCTTGGAAAGAAGGCACAGTATACATTCTATGTATTGAATGAATTACTGTACCTAGCATCTATAACACAACTAGATAAAGGGTAAGGTAGTTATTTGGAAACCACATATATTGGACAGTGTGATTCTAACTTAAGGAAGAACTGGAGAGGAGAACTCCCTTACCTGGTTAGGGTGGGAAATGTGGAGGAAGATCCATCTTTAGGAGAATTGATCAGTTCTGGGACACCAACCCCAGCAATCTCCTCTATGGCCTTCAGAACACTGTCTGTATGCTCCAGGTAGATGCTGCATTGAGAGCCACAGGAATATGAATACATGTTACAGAATTCCTAAATTAAGATTCCCTTCTTGAGATATTACCAAGTGTTTATCTTTAAACTAACTACTAGCATTTATTCTTTTGAACAATTTTTTTGGGGGGGAGCCTGGGTGGCTCAGTCGGTTAAGCGTCTGACTTCAGCTCAGATTATAATCTCACGGTTCATGGGTTTGAGCCCCGCGTCAGGCTCTGTGCTGACAGCTAGCTCAGAGCCTGGAGCCTGCTTCGGATTCTGTATCTCCCTCTCTCTCTGACCCTCCCCTGCTCACACTGTCTCTCTCTCTCTCAGAAATAAATAAAAACATTAAAAATTTTTTTTTTAATTTTTTAAATGTTTATTTTTGAGAGAGAGAGACAGAGTATGATTGGGAGAGGGGCAGAGAGCGAGGAGACAGAGAATCTGAAGCAGGCTCCAGGGTCAGAGCTATCAGCACAGAGCCTGACATGAGGCCTCAACCCACAAACTGTGAGATCATGACCTGAGCTGAAGTTGGATGCTCAACCAACTGAGCCACCCAGGAGCCCCTCATTTATTCTTTTTTTTTTTTTTTTTTTTTTTTTACAAATAGTTTATTGTCAAGTTGGTTTCCATATAACACCCAGTGCTCATCCCCACAAGTCCCTCCTCCATGCCTATCTCCCCCCTCCCCCCCCACACCCATCAGTCCTCAGTTTGTTCTCAGTATTCCAGAGTCTTTCATGGTTTCTCTCTCCCCCTCCCCCACTGTTTCCCCCCTTCTTCTCCCCCATGGTCCTCCATTAAGTTCCTCCTAATCCTCCTATACGTGCAGACATATGGTATTTGTCCTTCTCTGCCTGACTTATTTCGCTCAGCATAATACCCTCAAGTTCCGTCCATGTTGCTACCCATGGCCAGATTTCATTGTTTCTCATTACCATGTAGTATTCCATCGTATAGATAAACCACATCTTCTTGATCCATTCGTCCGTTGATGGACACTTAGGCTCTTTCCAGGTTTTGGCTATTGTTGAGAGTGCTGCTGTGAACATTGGGGTCCATGGGCCCCTATGCATCAGCACTCCTGTATCCCTTGGGTAAATTCCTAGCAGTGCCATTGCTGGGTCATAGGGGAGTTCTACTGTTAACTTTTGCCCCTCATTTATTCTTAATAAAATCAAAATTCCAGGTAATTGTCAGGAGGTAAAGCAAATGATGTTTCAATTGGAAATAAAGTTAGATACTTAGGAAGTAACGGATGAGTCTTGGATGTAGCAGGCAATAAATAATGATATAACTCTGGGGACGCCTGGGTGGCTCAGTCAGTTAAGTGTTGAACTCTTGACTGCAGCTCAGGTCCTGATCTCACAGGGTTCATGAGACTGAGCCCTGCATCCAGTGCACAGCCTGTTTGGGGTTCCCTCTCTCTGTCTTTCTCCTGCTTGTGCGCTCTCTCTCTCTCTCCTGCTTGTGCGCGCTCTCTCTCTCTCTCAAAATAAATAAATAAACTTAAAAAAAAAAAGTCACACAACTCTGGCTAACGAGGCAAACACAACCACAGGCCCCTCCACCCCCTCCTCTCTGATTTAATAAGGAACTAGTTCACAGTATCAAAAACACTAGACAATCTTACAATCCACATATTCCAAATTCTGATAATTTAATTTCCTGTTCAGGTATAATCAACACAAGACATCACATTAGTTTCAATCCACCTTTTGTTAGTTTCAAACCTCCTGGTTTCCAAGGTGCCCCTAACTACAGTAATTTCTCAGTCTTTGACCAGGCCAAAGAGATCCCAACAGTGACAAAATGGACTATTTGGCTCATGAAAGAAACCGAGACTCTCACCTGAGCAAAGTATGGAGCTGATCAGTAGAGATGCTGCTCTTCTCTTTCTCCGCACGTGGCCATACCCGACAGAGGAACCGTTTGGCCAATGAAGCTGTTGGAGAAACAAGACAAACGCGTTTCAAGCATAGAAAACTGACCACGCTCTTGTTTTCCAGCCTTTTTTTTTTTGGGGGGGGGGGGAGGTGATTAATGATCAAAAGGATTATATTATTCTTTAATTTACTTTTGAGAGAGAGAGAGAAAGGTTGTGAGTGGGAGGAGGGGCAGAGAGAGGGGGACAGAGGATCCAAAGCAGGCTCTATGCGGACATGCAGGGCGCAAACTTATGAACCGTGAGATGGTGACATAAGCCAGTCATACACTTAACCAACTGGGCCGCACAGGTGCCCCCAAAGGATTATTTTTTAAATATTGACTATGAAGTTCCTAGTCTAACAGACAATGTGAAACGAGCTGTCGTGGGTTCCTGTCCCACTGGTCCTTCCACCAGAAATAAACCTAAGACCCACCCTCTCACCCTGTCCTGCCACAGAAAACACCAACTGAATAGACACACTGCTGAGCGGTAGGAAAACCAATCTTGTTCCTCCTGGGCAGCAATAAGCCATGGCCACCTCAGATTCACACCAAACGCTTCCCTTTTAATTAACAGGAAGCAACAGAAGACTTGTTTTGCATTTTCTTCTTGCTTTCTGTCTCTGCTGCCTATTAGGGTGTATAAATCAATGAGATGAATTCTAAGAGCTGTGAGAAAAGATAGTTTAAGAAAAGATCAGGAATGGGGTCCAGCTTTTCTTTACACTTAATCTTGATTTGCCCTCCTTCTCCCACCCATTTTATTTCCCTTGTATCTCTTTTTGCCAAATACCTTAGATAATTTACCAAAAAAAAAAAAAAAAAAGACCTGAATAAACAGAGGCCAAGCAAATTACCTAGCCAACTGAACTAATCAAATTCAGAGTAAGCAATGTCAGCAGAGATCAATCATAGCTCCTTCTGAGTAAGTGTCCTTGATATAGCAAGAGGGCACATCAACAGTTATCGGGGGGTGTGCATGTAAAATGTACAAGTTCCTAGGAAGCCCTAAGTTTACAAGCTTGAATTATTAATCCTATTCATGAAAAAAAAAAAAAGAAGAAGAAGAAGATGATGATCTGGGCCCATCACCAATTTTTTCTTTGTTCTTAGTAGCTGTAGATTTCTCCAAAATGACCATCAGAAGTCTGATGAGATAAAGAGCACACTGGAAACTGGGAATGCTGTGAGAGAAATTCTGCAAGTAATTGAAGCTCTGGCTGTAAAAGAGACAAGAAAAGAAAATAAAAAAGACACCACAAATATTACAGATATGTCTAAATTTATTAGTTGTTCAAGTCCACTTATGTATTTAATAGTCTAAACATTTTCAGGTGCTTTTGTGGCCACATTCTTTCAAGACCTTGACAGGGAACTGGAACCTTGTACGAAGAAAGGCCAGGGCAGAATAGAGCCCAGTGGATGCAATGCTGGCCTTGAAGGGTCACACACCAAGAAACCCAAATAGGAGTCTAGGCATGTTTATATGAGCAACCCTGGACAAATTATTTGCTCTTTAAGACCTAGGACAACACAATGAGAAGAAGGATGCACAAAGGTTTAATAGGATTATTCAACAGTTTCTAATATTTCAGGACTTATCAGGATACAAACATGAGAAAGCTCATGTAACTGAGGAAAAAGCAGATGAAAAAATCAATTTCTGTCACAACTACTGGGAGGCACCTGAGTGATTTCCAAGATATCTCGCTAATCTTGTTCTAGGAGTTTCTTGAGACAACACTCTGTGATGTGTAGTCTGACCCACCTGAGCAATTCCTCCAAGGCCTGGTCAGGCTCTCTTTGCTTCAGTCGGTTAGTAAGGACTTCAAGGGCTGAGTACAGTAAATGAAGATTCTGAGGCTGAAAAAATCCATTCCTAAGGGAAATTTAAGGTAAGGCAGTTGAGCTTAGTTTTAGGAAGATTGCTTGGATAGATTTCAGGATCCTGGCTTCCAGGCTATACCATCAACAGATTAACAAAGAAAACGGGGAACCAGAGCACTGAAAGTACTCAGGCGCCCAATTCAGTCACAGCTCTGAGCCTCACATTACAAATTAAAGTGCATCTAAAACAGTCTTTCCTTAAGGAGGCAACAGTGCTCCTAGGTTTTTTTTTTTTTTTTTCCCTTTTTAAAAACTTTTTTTAATGTTTATTTAAAAAAATTTTTTTTAATGTTTTATTTATTTCTGATTGAGACAGAGACAGTGTGAGCAGGTGAGGATCAGAGAGAGAGGGAGACACAGAATCTGAAGCAGGCTCCAGGCTCTGAGCCAGCTGTCAGCACAGAGCCCGACATGGGTCTCAAACCCACAAACCGTCAGATCATGACCTGAGCCGAAGTCGGACGCTTAACCGACTGACCCACCCAGACGCCCCTTAATGTTTATTTTTGAAAGAGAGACAGAGCATGAGCAGGGGAAGGGCAGAGAGAAAGGGAGCCACAGAATCTGAAGCAGGCTCCAGGCTCTGAGCTGTCAGCACAGAGCTCAACGCTGGGCTCAAATCCACAAAATGCAACATCATGACATGAGCTGAAGTTGGAGGCTCAATGGCCTGAGCCACCCAGGTGCCCCCTTCCTTTAGTTTCAAGAAAAAAAGAAAAGCTCTCCTTCATTCCTTATACTTTAGAGAAGTCTCATCCTTCTTCCCCAGAAAAACCAGGAATAACTTTGTCAACTGTTATATCAGTATCAAATCCATAGAAGTGCTCAATAAAAAACATACTCCTTGGGGCGCCTGGGTGGCTCAAGTCATTAAGCATTTGACTTTGGCTTAGGTCATGACATCACAGTTCATGAGTGAGCTTAAGCCCTACTTGGGGTGAGCATGAGCCGCCCTTTGGGTGAGCTTGAGCCCTGACTGGGTGAGCTTGAGTCCCAGCTGGGGTAAAATCACGAGCCTCCCTTTGGGTGAGCCCTGCTACTCTCTCTTTCTCTGTCCCTCTGCTCCTCCTGGGATTCTCTCTCTCCCCCTGCCCCTCATTCACCTGTGCCCTCTCTCTCTCTTAAAAAAATAATAAAATTACTCCTTCTTCTAGAAGTCAAGTCTTGACAACTCTATCTTCAGATTATCTCCTACTGTCCCTTCCTTCCCAAGCCTAGGCCACCCTCTACGCCAGACCCTTATGATCATCACATACGTAGATCAGACACCTTTTGATTGATCTTTCTGCATCACTTTCCAATCTGTCCTGCACACTGCTGCCAAAAGGATTTTTCTAAAATATCAATTTCATTATATCCTGGCTCTAATCATAAAACCAGAATTGTTTCTCTGTACAACATTCAAATTCTTCTGACTTTATTTTTTTTAATGTTTTTATTTATTTCTGAGAGAGAGACAGCATGAGCAGGGGAGGGTCAGAGAGAGAGGGAGACATAGAATCTGAAGCAGTCTCCAGGCTCTGAACTAGTTGTCAGCACAGAGCTCAACGCAGGGCTCGAATCCATGAACCATGAGATCATGACCTGAGCCGAAGTCGGATGCTTAACCAACTGAGCCACCCAGGTGCCCCAAATTCTTCTGACTTTAAAACCCAGCACTATCTGGGCCCCTAGATCTTCTACTCCTCTAGAAACGTCTCCACATCACCAATGGTAGTCCTTCTGTCTTGCAGCAAATGTACTCTGAGGGCCTATTATAGGTCAGGTTTTTGGGGGGATAACAGTTTATTGAGATAGAATCGACATCCAATAAAATGCATATATTTAAAATGTTGATCAGTTTGATCAGGTGACTTATAGAAACCCATGAAACCAACACTGCAATGAAAATAATGAACAGGGGCACCTAGGTGGCTCAGTCGGTTGAGTGTCTGACTGTTAAATTTGGCTCAGGTCATGATCCCAGGGTTGTGGGATCGAGGCCCGCATCAGGCTCCATGCTGAGCATAAAGCCTACTTGAGATGGTCTCTCTCTCCCTCTGCCCCTTCCCTGACTCATTCTGTCTCTAAATAAGTAAGTAAAATAAGTAAATAAGTAAATAAATAAATAATACCCCCCAGAGTTTACTTATATTCCTTTGAAATCTATCCTTCACTCCATCCTTCTGCCCAGTAATAGGCAACAACTGATCTGTTTCTGTTACTGCAAGATTATACGCCTTTTCTTAGAGTTCTATATAAATGGAATCAAATGGTATACATACTCTTATGTCTTGCTTTCTATTCAGTAGAATTCTTTTTTTCCCTCTATGTTGTTGCGGATAGTATTCCATCATATGAAAATCTGTTTATCCATTTACCAGTTGGTGGACATTTGTTTCCAGTTTGGGGCTCTCACGAATAAGGCTGCTATAAACATTCGTACACAAGACTTTGTGTAGATTAGACATATGCTTTCTCTTGAGTAAATACCTAGAGGCAGAATGGCTGGGTTGTGTGACAGGTGTATGTCTAACTTAAGGAGCTACTGAACTGTTTCAATATTGGGTGTACCATTTTACTTTTCCACCAGCAACATGTCAGAGTTCTAGCTGACCCATGTCCTCACTAATACGGTAAGGTAAGTCTTTTTTTTTTAATTCAGCTGTGCTAGAATTTTAACTTGGAATTCCTTAATAACTAATACTATTGAACATCTCTGCATTATTTATTCGCCATCCATACATATCCTTGATGAAGCATCTGTTCTTCTGTCAGGCACTGTTCTTACGTACTAAGGATAGAATAAGGATTGGTTTCAGATGGTCTAGCAAGGAAGAGAGATTAACAAGTAATTACAATAAAATGTGGTTAAGTTTTACCATAAGAGGATATCAGAGTATTTTTTAAGTTTATTTATTTATAATCTCTACACCCAATATAGGGCTTGAACTCATGATCCTGAGATCGAGAGTCACATGCTCCACCAACTGAGCCAGCCAGGTGCCCTGAGGATACCAGAGAATTAGGAGAAAATTAAGGTTAGAGAGGCAGGAAGGAGGCTTCCTTGTCCGAGGGGTTGAGAAGAAAACTCTGAGGAAATGAAGTTTAAATTCATATCTCAGAGATGAGTTAGAAAAGTCTGGTGATCAAGGAGGACAGGGATCCTGGTAGAAAGATGAGGATACGTGAAGTTTTCCAGGTGAAAGCAATGCAAAGTGCTGAAATTAACTCCGTACAGCTGGAGGGCAGAAGGGAAGATAATGAGTGGAGAGCAGGAGGCAGATAATAAGAGGCCTTAGAAATTCGGTAAAAGTGTTTGAACTCAAGAGAAATCTAAGGACAACCAGAACCAAAGTTGGGATAGGATAAAGTTGGCTTTGCACTGGGAAGACCACTCTGACTGCTGTGCGAAGCAAAGGACTGAGGGAAGGCACCTGGAGGTAGAGCCCAACTGTGAAACTAATCTAGTCCAGGTGAGAGACAATGGGAGTCAGTGCGGAAGGAGAGAACAGATGGCTATTTAGATGTTATTTAAAAGATAAAATTAACAGGATTTGGTGACCCAATGTGGGAGAGACAGGGACAAAGAATAACTTATGGTTTCTGGCTCAGACAACTGGTGGTGCCATTTAGGTGGCCTGGCAAAGCCACAGGAGCAGTGGTGAAGATGATACATTCCATTTTGGATGTGCAGTGTCTGAGGTGTCATCGACATATCTAAGGAAGTGGTGAGTAGGCAGTTGGATATAAATGCTTGTAGCTCAGAAGATAAATTTAAGCTTGGTTGAGATTGCCCAGAAAGCCTCTATAGGAGAAGAAAGGAGCCAGAGCCCAGCCCTGAGGAAAAAAAGCATTTAAGAGACATATCGCCTTCATTTCTACTTTCATCCATGCCATGCCTTGCAGTCCATTCCTTTACCTTCCAAAGGCCATCTATTCTTCAGAGTCCCATGAAGTCCCATTCCTTCCACAAAGTATCTCTAAATAACCCAGCTCAAAATGTATTCATATATAACCTGAATATGTATTCATATATAACCTTATTTATTTTAAGAGAGAGAGAGAGAGAGTGGGCCCACACAAACGGAGGAGGGGCAAAGAGGAGAGACTTAATCCTAAGCAGGCTCCAAGCCATCAGCGCAGATTCCAATGTGGGGCTGGAACTCCCAAATGAGACCATGACCTGAGCCGAGATCAAGAGTCAGACGCTTAACTGACTACACCACCCAGGTGCCCAATTTTTTTTTTAAGATTTTATTTTTAAGTAATCTCTACACCCAACATGGGGCTCTGAGAGCAACTCACAGCCCTGAGATCAAGAGCTGCAAGCTCAACTAACTGAGCCAGCTAGGTGCCCCAGTAACAACTTTTTTTAAAAAATGTTATTTATTTATTTTGGGAGAGACAAAGAGAATGAGCACACACGAGGGAGGGGCAGAGAGAGTGAGAGCCAGAGAGAGAGAGAGAGAGAGAGAGAGAGAGAGAGAGAGAGAGAGAATCCCAAGCAGGCTCCGTGCCGACACAGGGTTCGATTTCACAAACTGTGAGACCATGACGTGAGCCAAAATCAAAAGTCAGACACTTAAACAACTGAGCCACTCAGGTGCACCACGCCCCCCCACCCCCACCCCAGTAACAACTTCTTAAGTAACCATCTCTCCAGCATTATTATCGAAAGCCTGCCACAACAAACCTGGCTAAGAATCAGATGCCCAGATTTGTTACAATATCAAGTCACCTAATTTTCAAATGAGTTAATAACACTGGCCGCATAAGACACAGAGGGTAGGGTACAAGATCAAATGAAATGATGCAGACAAAAGCACTGCAAAGAGAACAAGTACCATATTTATATAAGACTTATAGAGGCTTTTCCTTCTTTTCTCTACCTCAGTGCCTTAGTGACTGTCAAGTAAAAGCAAGCACATACTTGATTATTTCTACCTACCATACCTGCCACTTACTCACCAAGCAAAAAGAGCATAGAAAATCTGCAATAGTCTCTGATAACATGAAGACATTATGTGGTACTCCTGAACTTTCATTCCTGGTCCATCAACTACGCCTTGATTCTCAGCAGCTAAGCACTAAAAGGGAAAAATGCTTTTAGGACAGTTGTTTCAGCAATTGCCCTCATTTTCCTTCAGCATTTCCCAACCAAAAATGAAATCTCTTGTTACTCTGTAATTCCTAAATTTCTTAATAATAAGATAAGCCGCTGACCTGAAAATAGTTGTGAATGTTCTCCAGATGGTTACACATTGGAGTAAGCAGTTGAACGACACTATGAACAATCTGTTGGGCAGATCTCTGATGGAGATGTGAGAATCCAATATTTCGGTGTCCTTTACTCTATAATAAAGTCAGAGTTACTAAGGAAGAAACTGCTGGATAGCTTCTCTGAAACTAAGAGTTTGTTAAGGAGTTTAGTCAGACTTGTGTTACGAGGTAGAAGTGGACAGAAGAAAGGGGCTGTGTGCCCAAAACTCTTTTTGGACAAAGAGATCTTTTCCTATCTTCGAATTACATTGGCTTTTGTAGAGTACAAATTGTCTGCAAAGAACAGATCCATAATTATGGAGATAAAGCTCACATAAAAACAGAAATCACTTAGGCTGAAAAGAATATTAAATAGTAAATAGTACAAAAATGAATCAAATAACTGGATAGATTACGTTTAAATGTTTACACCTAAAACTTTCATGTTTTGTTGTCTGCATCACCCAACTGCTTCGCCAGATGCTCTGTGCACATTGTACATCACACATGTGAGGTTCTGGCTTTCCCTAGATAGCCAACTATTACACTGAAGGCTTGGGCATGGGCTTAGTTTGGGAGGCTTTTAAAACAAAACCTAAGTAAAGAACAGGATTCAGGAATGCTCCAGGCATTTAGAAATATATATCTTGTGACTTATTTGATTTTTGTTTGAGTTCCTTTCTAAATCAAGGTGAATGGTCTGGAAATGAGTCTGCCAGCCCTGGTACCAGTGACCCAAACACAATGCCAGAGAAAGTGACAACTAATTCACTAAGATCACCTCGTTAAGGCCAAGGCCTGTGCTTCTCTCTATACGAACCTTGAGGAAGGGGATTCTCCTGGCAACAGGAGGCGTCAGTATATTCTCCAGCTTCTGAGAGAGATCTTCTAGCAAGAAAAGTAGTTCAGGGGGCTGAAGTTGCACAACTTCTGTAGCCTGTCACAAGGAGGAAGGAGAGGGTAATTCCAAGCATGTCCTAGCCATCTTTTGTTGGGAGTACATTTCATGTTTACTTGTCCCAATGGCTGAAGAATCTGATGATTCCCAAAAAGGGGGAAACCCTACCTCATATAAATGGCTGGTTGTGTTCTGTCAACAAATCATAAAGTCAAGAATTCTCAAAGTAAAACGAATCTCAAATTATTAAAATAAAAATCCAAGGGAGTATAGTATCAGAAGACATACTTTTTTTTCTCTAGAAATAAATATCTCCGTGTATCCTTCCCGTTATGGCCTCGAGGCGCATCCCAGTACCTGGGATAAAAAATGACTAATTCAAGGGAATTTCACTTTTCTCTGTTTATTTACTTCCATATTTTCTTTCCCCTAATGTTTTGCTACTATTAGCTCTGGCCAGGATCCCTATAAGGGTATAACACTACCAGAAGCAAAATAAGCCAAACACAGTCTCACTTCAAACTGTTGGTTCAATATACATTTATGGAGAATCTCCAAGCTGATGTACAAAGAGTGGGGTGGGGAAGGAGCGATACTATCTCTACTTGGAAGGAGTACATTTTTGTAAAAACCTATAGTAAAAAATTTCAAGATGTTTCTCTTTTTACTTGGTTTACTTTTAAGTTTTTATTATTTTTCCTGAAAGAGAGAGAGCACATAAGTGTGAGCAGGGGAGGGGTAGAGAGAGAGGGAGAGAGAGAATCTCAAGCAAGCTCCATGTTGTCCACACAGACCCTAACCCCTGACCTGAGCCAAAACCAAGAGTCAGACACTTAACCAAGTGAGCCCCTCTTTTTTTGTTTTTTTAACCTGGAGAAACTACTCTGGTGAAATCCCTGAAGTTACCTTTTCTGTGAAAATGTCTTCTATTTCCCACTTCACTATAAATACCACTCTCTCCTCAGAGTTTCACTGGTACTTGGTTCAGATTACCAATACAGCAGACACTGCTAGTTATGTGTGTTTCCCTTATTAGACTGTGAGCTATTTGAAGGCTAGCATCATGCTGTATGCTCTACTGAGTTGCCAATGTCTAGGTTAGTGGCAAACACAAAAAAGGCCTGGAAAAGCATCTGATGGATGCTGAACAAATGTCATAAAAGAGTGAAAACAGCATTAACCTCTATCAACCAGAATAGTGCTACTCTACAAGAATAATCTAAATAGCTTATTATTAGTAACCTAGGGTAAGGATCATATCTTTAGCATGATTTTTCATAATGTCTAACACACTGTAAAAAAGTTAGATTTATAAACATCAAGATGATGGGGGGGGGGGGGGCACCTGGCTGGCTCAGTTGGTAGAGCATGTGACTCTTGATCTCAGAGACATAAGTTCAAGCCCCACATTGGGCCTAGAACTTACTTTAAAAATAAATAAACAAACAGGTGCCTGAGTGGCTGAGTTGGTTGAGCATCCGACTCTTGATTTCAGCTTAGGTCATGATCCCTGGAAGATGGGATCAAATTCTGTGTTGAGCTCCAGACTGAGCATGGAGTCTGCTTAAGATTCTCCTCTCAGGGCGCCTGGGTGGCTCAGTCAGTTAAGCGTCCAATTTTGGCTCAGGTCATGATCTTATGGTTTGTGAGTTTAAGCCCCATGATGGGCTCTGTGCAGACAGCTCAGAGACTGGAGCCTGCTTTAGATGCTGTGTGTGTGTCTCTCTCTCTGCCCCTCCCCTGCTCATGCTCTGTCTCTCTTTCAAAAATAAACATTAAAAAAATTAAAATTAATAAAATAAAATTAATTAGATTGTTTACCTTAAAACAAAAAGATTATGAGGATGATTATTCAAAATTACTTTCACTATGTATAAAAGCTTTGGAAGCCAGAGTCTAACTTCTCTCAATGCATGGTGCTCTTATTAAAATAAGAATAGAGCTGAGAAATTTTCTGAAAGAAGATTAAATTCTAGGATTTCAGTTTTGTCACTTACTTCAGTGTGCATTTCAGTATCGAAGATGAATTTGGTCACAAGCCCACAATGAAGAATAGAGAAGACCTCAATGTCCAGTTCTCGGAAAAAAACATGGTAATTCTGCAGCAACACTGATGTCTTTTCCTCATTCCCTATGAACTCCTGGGGAAAAAGTAGCAGGAAACCAACCGAATAAATAAGGTTTCTATATTAACCTGAGTTTTCATGAAGACTTCAAAATGCAATTATGCATTCATTTTGTGCAAACGTTACTTTTCAGCATATCACCATCTTTCTTTCACCTAAGTCCCTAAATATTCCTAAGACAAAAGCACCTAATTTAAGATTGGGATAGGGGTCACCTATTAAGACCCCTTGTTGGTTTCTACTTAAGTATAAATTACTAGACAAACCAAGGTGTCATGGCATGGTGCAGAAAATGATGAGCTTTGGCTCCAGAAAGATCTGCCTTCAAATCCTTGCTCAAGCACTTATTAACTGTGTGAACTTGGACAAGTCACTTACTCTCTCTGGGTCTTAAGTTTCCTTACCTATTAAATGTAGATATTACTATTAATCTTGGGTTTTTAGAAGACTATAGGAGCTATCCACAATAGGTACTCAATAAACAGCTAAAAAAACAGAAATAATTGGGATCCATGTGGTTTAGGCAATTTCAAACATATAACCTACTCTGTGATTGGTAGAGTTATAGGAAAAAGGAACTACTATTTATTAACTATGAGAAACTGTCCTAAGCATTTCATGTAATCCCAATTCACTGAGAAATTGATAATCTGAGATCAGAGGGTAGAAGAGGCTAAAAGCAGTATATCTACAGCCATATCCTAAAATGCAACTTGATAAATGCTACAAAGTACTGCTGGGGTATAAAAAATGGAGTGACACATTCAAGAAAATAACTAGAAAAAACTGTGTGGTAGTGATAAAGACTTAGAGTCTAACCCCACCTCTGCTACTGGATCACCCCAAAACCTAGGAGAGGCGTTTGCTTCTTCTTTTCCCTAATACTTCTCTCTGTAAAATGCAGAGAATAATGCTGGTCCTTGGTTAATCTTACTGGGCTGTCACACACCTCCACGGATACCCATCATTCCAGTACCTTTTCCAGCTGGCTTCTATCAGATGGTGTAGGGACACATTCTGAACTATCCTCCTTTGTAAGTGTGTCAGAGGAAGATGTTTTGCTGCCATCTGCTTTCCGTTTCCTTCCTCCTTTTGTTTCAAAAAGAGAAAAGTGACTCAAGTAATTAATAATCATATTTGCTAAATATCACCATCTTCAGAAAACAACCTGCTCAAGACTACCTAGGAGTAGAGGAGGTAATTTTATAACCCTGCATTACAGTTCAATTTACAACCATGCCAAATAAAGAGTTCAATGACATCATCTCTATTTACTGATGCATTGGTGCATATGACCTAATCTTAGGTTAACTTAGTATGGCTCCAATGGAGATACAGAATAAGAAGGAGAAAACATACCTATCTTTCCTTGTTTTCTGATTTTTGCTGAAATAGCAGCAGTAGTGGCAGGTGTTACACCTAAAGTTTCCAAGTCAAAGTCTGCAAGGGGTGGAACATAGTATGGGGTGACTGGAAAAGAGAAGAGACAACGCTCAATGCATACCCATCACATAACCCTGTTAGAATGCATCACCTGACTGGCTGAATGCTTGTAAGATACATCCAAGTTACCTCACTTTAATTGTTTTGGCATAGCAAAATGATCAGAAATGGCTTATAGGAGTATCATATTAAATGATTATAACTAATTAAAATAAAACCAATTAACAAAATGATATAAAATATCCAAGCAAATAAGGACTAAAGATAAACTAACTTTTATTTAAAATCTAAATATATTAAAATTAGGTCACACAGAGGTTTTACACGTAATTATTTAGATGAGGGCCTGAGGGAGGCTCCATGATTTTCCCAGAGAATCTACCTAGCATTTTATTTTAAGTTTATTTATTTATTTAAGTGATTCCCTATACCCAACATGGAACTTGAACTCATACCCCCGAGATCAAGAGTTGCATACTCTTCTGACTGAGCCAGCCAGCCAGGCATCTACCTAGCATTTTATTTATTTTTTTTTTAAATGTTTTTATTTATTTCTGAGAGAGAGAGAGAGAGAAAGCGTGAGCAGGGGAGGGTCAGAGAGAGAGGGAGTGACAGAATCTGAAATAGGCTCCAGGCTCTGAGCTGGCAGTTACCACAGAGCCAGACGCAGGGCTCGAACCCACGAACCGCGAGATCATGACCTAAGCGAAAGTCGGACACTCAACCGACTAAGCCACCAAGGCACCCCCTACCTAGCATTTTAAAACAAGTTTATGTACTGGTCAGAGGTATCATGTTTTAAGTTTTTAAAATTTTATTTATTTTTGAGAGAGACAGAGAGTGTAGGGGAGGGGCAGGGAGAATGGGAGACAGAATCCCAAAGAGGTGCCACACTGTTAGCACAGAGCCCACTTCAGGGCTCCAGCTCACGAGCCATGAAATCATGACCTGAGCCAATACCAAGAGTTGGATGCTTATCCAACTGAGCCACCCAGGTGCCCTAGTCAGAGGTATTAAGAGGCTTCAGCTTTACTCCTGGTTTATAACTATGTTTAGGAAAGCAAAGCGCACTGAAAGTTTGACTTCTATTTTTTTGTATTTTTTTTAAGGATTTTATTTTAGAAATAGAGAGTAAGTGCATTAGCAGTGGGAGGGTCAGAGGGAGAGGGAGAGAAAGAATCTCAAGCAGGCTATATACACACAGTGTAGAACCCAAAGCAGGGCTCAATCCCATGACCTTGGGATCATGACCTGAGCCACAATCAAGAGTTGGACACTAAACCTACTGAGCCACCTAGATGCCCCTGACATTTTGACCTCTTTTTTTTTTTTTTTGACATTTTGACTTCTAAAGAAGAAAAGTTACTTTACAAAAGCCCAACCAATGCTATTTTTTATTTTCTCAAGCAAATAGATTTCTTGGAGGTAACAATGGGAGGAAAATGGATATATTCTTTTTCTCTATTTTCTTGTCCCAGATGAGTAGAAAATGGCTATCACTGAGCCTGGCTTAAAAGCAAAGTTCTTTATCTCATCACTGCCATCCTAGCCAGGCTACCATAATAAGACACTTTCCTTACCTGCTAAGTACTTTTCCAGGATTCTCTGGAGCTCCACAATATGCTTTAACCGGGTGAGCACTTTCCCCTTCATCTCAGGTGACGTTTGCTGGCAGAAGGCATTTACAACCTGGAAAAGTAAAAATCATATTCCCATTCTTTGAACGGTTCCGGTTATAACCGTTTGCATTATTCATCCAGAGCTTAAAAAGGCCAGGGTGCCTGGGTGGCTTGGTCAGTTAAGCGTTCGACTCTTGACTTCAGCTCAGGTCATTATCTCAGAGTTTGTAAGTTTGAGCCCCACCGGCTCTGTGCTGGCAGCACGGGGCCTGCTTGGGATTCTCTCTCCCTCTCTACCTGTCCCTCCCTTGCTCACAGACTTTCTCTCTCAAAATAAATAAATAAACATTAATTTTTTTTTAAATGGCTTTCAGTGGCAGGATCTGTGATCTGTAATGTAAAGGTGTTCTCACTAAGGTGCTGTAAAGAAAAAGAAAAAGCCCTGGGCCAATATTGACTTCTAATCCTAGTTCTACTGATTTCTAGTTAGGTAGCAAGGTGGAATAGCAGTGAGTAGAGAGCACACACTTTGGTGAAACAAGTCCTATCTTGCTACTTACTAGCTATGTGAACCTGGCCAAGTCATTAGCCTTTCTGAGTTTTTATTTCTTCAAGTATAAAATGAGAATGCAGTTGCCATATGGATTAAATACTGTAAATAAAGAAATCAGCGCAGCTTTTGGCATACGGCAAGTACTTGAATCCTTTGAACTCTGTATCTGCAATTCCACAAGTACGAGACAAAGGTAACAATGCCTATCCTGCTTACATCATAATAGAATTATAATCATAAGAGGAGATAATTTTTTTCATAAGAGGAGATAATTTAAGTGAACATTCTCAGAAATAATATGCATAAATAAATATAAATGTATATCACGGTCATTTTCATCATATTTCATCACTGTGTATTTCATTCAGCACAATATATGCTACAAGGCAAACTATCACTCACTTGACCTCAGCGAACTGAAACATTAAGTGCATACCTATGCAAGGGTGAGTGGTGTTTCACAGTGGAGAAGGTGAAGTTATTCCAGGCAAAAGGAAGAATACAACAAAAAGGCTTATAGTAGTAAAGCATGAACAACATTAAGTGAATTCTAAGTATTTTGATTTGGCTACATCAAAAGATACATATAACTGGGGAGAAGTGAGACATAAAAGCTAGAGAAGCACACGGGGGGATTAGTGCTTGTGATTTTTTTTTCTAAAGTAGGTTCCATCCCCAATGTGGGGCTTGAACTCACGACCCTGAGATCAAGAGTCGGATGCTCTATCCACTGAACCAGCTGAACCAGCCAGGCGCTTCTGGTGGAGATTTTTCGGGAGTCCCAAGAATGAGGGAATGGTTTCCTTTCAAGAAGAACTACAGACACTAGGGGAAATGCCCCGTAGCTATGCTTACCTCTCGGAACCAGTTGAGAGTAAGAAATATGAGTGAACACATGAATGAACTCTCTTTAACAGACATGGACGCCAGCCTCTCTCCAGGCTCCAGGTCAGTGAGGAATATAGGACAATCTGAAAGAGAACAAACATTTCTAACTCCCTTTGTTTCAAGTCAACAGAACTTGGATGCTACCCGTAGGGTTACCTCTCCTGCTTACTTTCCCCTTTAACTTATACTTGAAGGTGAAGCTTTGATTAGTCTCAAATTATTGCCTTATTATGTAGCAATCTTTAAATATAATGAAGAAGTCTTTACAAATCTAGATGCAAGGACCAGAAAGCAACAAGGTACTATGATGATGGCTGATCTGTCAACATGACTAGAATTTTTATACATTATTTTGTCTTTTGAATTTCATCATTACTGCTAATCTACTCTGTGAAGTTAGAAAATTCCTTCCCCTACACAACATGTACTGGCTTGCTCCTTCCCCAAGATTATCAGAGAAAAGTTACAAAGAAGAAAGGATCTGACAACTTCACCCTATACCTAATAAACCATCAATCTCCTCCAAGCTTCCATTATGTTGTCTCTCCACACAAAGCCTCAGTAACCGGAAATACGGAGCCAGGCACAACGGAGACACCAATCTGGGAAGGAAAAATCCATTGCTGAACAGTATTTTATAGGCATATTAATCCACATTTATAGGGAACTCCACCTTATAATTAAAGAGTTTTGCCCAAGATAAACGTCTACTGTTAAGAACATTATGACAAGGAACTTAATGGGTGCTCAGTAAATAAACAATGAACTAAACTGGAGGAAGACAGAGGCTGAAGAGAGTAAACGTCCATGAGTTGGGAGAAGCAGAGATAAAATGGGAAGGAGGGAGACAAGTATGTACATGGGAGGGAGAAAGGAACAGAAATGCAAACAGCCTCACAGAGTAGCCGTTGGCCCCTTATTAGGCAATGCGGACCCCAACCACAGGGCCTAAGAACAAACAAGCGATCTGCCCCATTCTTGCTAACCTCTCCGAACACCACCTGCCTGAGGAGAAAGCCTTTTCCATCAAGTTCCCAAAAGGCTGCAAGAAGTGTGGAATACCCCGCGAACATTCAAAACAGTAACAGAAGTTTAGTAAAGAAAAAGTACACTGACTTCTGGTCTGATTCCTGTGAAGTCGTTCTACCCCCATCTTCTGCAAAGTCCTGAGAGTGCAAAAGCGGCAGGAGGTTGATGGCGATCCCATCAAGGCTACTGTATTCTTCGAGTCCGTAGAGAGCTTTCACAGGAAATGGATAGTCACTGCGAAGAGAACCCAGAACTTGATGCAGCAAGGGTATAGGAGTCTAGAGGGGAAACTACTAAAACAAACCAAGCTTCCCTCTCAGAAAGAGAACTTCTCTGAGGAAAAGAGAGAAACAAAAAGCACAAGTGGGGAAGCCTGTAGCAACGCTGGAGCTGGGGTGTGGGGGTTGGGAGGAAAGAAACTGTGGGACTGGGTCAGACGTGGCTGAGGTCAAGAGCATTCTGCAGTCTGTACCGTCCACTGACATCATTTCCTCACCCGTACAATCAAGTTAGTCGGTAAACAGTACTTACCCTTCTGGAAAAGCACATAAGTCCACCACAAAGGCATCTTGGAAATCATTAAAGATGGTCTGCCCAGCCCATTCCTTCAGGAAGCAAACAAACAAACAAAAAATGCACAGAGCCCAGGGTGTACTTGCTGTAGATTCCTAGACAAACTATTACCCTCTCTGAGCTTCAGTCTCATTTCTAAGGAGGATAAAACAAAAACGTGGACCCATTATTATAAAGTGGGAAACAGAATACACGAAAACTGCTTAACACAGTGCCTGGCACAGAACACACAGTGGCTATTAACATCATCAACAATATTATCCCCATCCTCACCATTACTATTACTGTTGTGATTATGTAAAGGAGGCCTTAGAGGTGAAGCCTGGGGTAGGGTGAGGCGGCAGAACAGCCTTCCCGACTAGAATATGGGAGAGCTCTCAGGACGGCCTATTTTTTTTAAGTTTTTATTTGAGAGAGAGAGGGAGAGAGAGAGAACACACGCATGTCAGCAGAGAAGAGGCGGAGAGACAGATGCTCTGAAGCAGGCTCTGTGCTGACAGCAGAGAGCTTGATGTGGGGCTTGAACCCACAAACTGCCAGATCATGACCTGAGCTGAAGTCAGACACTTAACCGACTGAGCCACACAGGCGCCCCAGGATGATCTATTTTTGCAGGGCAACAGACAGAGGGCTTGAAGAATGTGTAGTAAAGCAGCCCTCATGCTTCACTGCTTTAAGAAAAGATACTTGGCCTTACCAGGGCTTTTGGTGCCAGATTTCCTGTTTGGATCAGAGTAGCAAATTCATCATAATACAGTGCAGAGGCCTGGGGAGACTGCTTACTGCAGGAGTGAACCAGCTGAAGCAAGGAGGTCACCTGCAGCAGCCAGAGAGAAAGAATGGTTCAGCCACTGGCTGCCAACACCTCCTAAACACTGTTCACCCCGAAGAGTAGTAAGTTTTTCCTTCCCATATCACTGGTAAAGCTCTTACTCCCTCTCGCCTGAGGTTTCTCTGACCTTCCTGACCAGCCCATCTGTTTCTAAACTCATCTCTTTTCCAATCCATCAGACATAGCCACATTAATTTTTCTTTTTTTTTTTTTTAAATGTTTTATTTATTTCTAGGAGAGAGAGAGAGAGACAGTGAGCAGGGGAGGGTCAGAGAGAGAGGGAGATACAGACTCTGAAATTGGCTCCAGGCTCTGAGCTGGTAGTCAGCACAGAGCCCGACGCAGGGCTCGAACCCATGAACCGCGAGATCATGACCTAAGCGAAAGTCGGACGCTTAACCGACTAAGCCGCCCAGGCGCCCCCACATTAATTTTTCTAAAGCAAAGCTTCGATTATGCCATGTCCATGCTAAGAAACCCTTAAAGACTACTTCTCTGTAAAAAAGTAAATCAAAATGCCTTGATTCACATTCCAGGCCCTCTGTTTTCTACCTCTGGACTAGCTAAATCTCCAGCTCCCCAACTGGACACTTACTAATGCCTATGCTTCAGTCAATATGCTACTCTGCAAACATGGCTACAAAATCAAGAAAACAGATTTTGGGGTGGGGGGGAGCATTCTTTTTGGTAAACTGCCAGTGACCAGAAGCAATTCCTCAGTTACCAATATACATATTCAAATACGTTACAAGAGGGGCGCCTGGGTGGCTTAGTTGGTTAAGCGTCCGACTTTCGCTTAGGTCATGATCTCGCGGTTCGTGGGTTCGAGCCCCGCGTCGGGCTCTGTGCTGACTGCCAGCTCAGAGCCTGGAGCCTGTTTCAGTCTGGGACTCCCTCTCTCTCTGACCCTCCCCTGCTCACGCTGTCTCTCTCTCTCCTATAAATAAATAAAAATATTTAAAAAAAAAAAACAAAAAAACAAATACGTTACAAGAACTCACCTGTGTATACTGTTCATTGCTCATGTCTGTTCTCCCTTGGGTCAAACTTGAAGATCTACTTCTAAAAACAAGGAATTTTAGATTTACTTTTATAATATTTTGTAAGAACTGGCAATTAGTTTGTGAATCCTGCCATTCCTGGGATGTGAGTGGAGATAAAAGTACATGAAGGCACAGAAAACTAACTATTTATACACAAAATGTGGATTGGAACAATGTCTGTCTAAGATACTTTTTAAGGGCACATTAAGTTAGCAATAACCCTAAGAGCAAGCACTGGGCACTGTTCTAAGAACTTAATGCTCTCAAGTAGTATAGCTCCAATGAATGAACTCTTAATCAGTACACTATGTAGCCTCCGTGAATTTCTAATGCTGATTTTAAGGCTGTCTCTTGAGGTCCCAGGAATTCCTTAACAAATTATCTCTAAGAAGCATAAACTGAATTCCAAAGTCCTTTTGCAATGGCAATATCTTATCAAGACCCAATACTGATGCTCTTTTAGGTGCTACAATTGTGGCATCAAAGTGAGAGAGAGGAAAAAAAAATCTACAGAAAGACCTTTTTTGTTTCAAACACAACCTCCCAGTCAGAATAACACAACTATGGAAAAGCCTGTGCTATCTAGTGCCTAGGAGAGGCGTAAATGCAGAAAAATGCATCCCAGGAGGCTCAGGGTTCCTCTTTTGTGGAAATATTTCTAGAACTTTATTTCTTGGTAATCCCTAGTTTTTAACCATTAGATTGTAAGGACTATAATCACATTCTGTAAAAACTATATTCCTATATACAGTTAAGATTAAAAGGGGAAATAGAAAAGTTGCAACAAATACTTGCTTACTTCACTTATTATAGTTTTAATATTTACTTTTGTAAATACTTTTGCCTATACAACGTATACTCTATTTGTAAGGTTGCAACTTAATTAACTGACCTTGAACCACAGAATTTCCACGCATACCTGTCTGCCGCTATCATGCCAGCCATGGTGACAGCACCAATAATACCAATGAGTTTGTATCTGACGATGGTGCTGGAGAGCTGCTTTCGTATCACCAGGTGCAGGTCATCCTGCAAGGAGGTACGATAAAGAAAGATAAAGATGCTAGCAGAGTACAGCAAAAGAGCGTGTGGATACTGGAACCAAAATAGCTAAAATAGCAAGGGTTCTATCATTTACTGTGTGGCCCTTGGCAAGTCACTGTATCTGAGTCTCAATTTTTTTCATCTATAAAACTGGGAAGATTTTATGAGAGACAAATTACAAAACTTAGAGCAATGTCAAAAATAAGACAGGCGTTCAAAAATGATAGCTATTATTAAAGTTGTGACAGTTGCCTGATAAAGATATATGAATTATTCATTGTAATGTTGTTGGCTGCTCAGCTAAAATAATGAAATAGAAAAAAATACTTGGGAATAAATTTAACAAAGGAGGTAAAAGATTTGTACGCTAAAAACTATAAAACAATGCTGAAAGATATTAAAGAAGACCTAAATAAATGGAAAGATATCCCATGTTCATGAACTGGAAGACTTAATATTGCTAAGATAATGATAGTACTCAAAGTAACATGCACATCATTGTAATCCTTATTAAAATCCAAATAGAATTTTTTGCAGATATAGAAAAACCCATGCTAAAATTCATATGGAATTTCAAGGGATTCCAAATAGCCAAAACAATCTTGAAAAATAACAACTTTGTTCTGTCAAAATTTCAATTTTGAAAAGAAAAAAAATTCTTTTCTTTTGTAATGTTTATTTATTTTTTAGTGAGAGAGCAAGCGAGAGAGAGACAGAGAGTAAGCACAAGCAGGGGAGAGGCAGAGAGAGGGAGACATAGAATCCAAAACAGGCTCTAGGCTCTGAGCTATCAGTGCAGAGCCCAACGTGAGGTTTGAACTCACGAACTGTAAGATCATGACCTGAGCCACTCAGGCGCCCCAAAGAAAAAAATGTTTTCAATTTTAAAATTACATACTGTAATTTTTCAAGATTACTGCAAAGCTACAGTAATCAAAACAGTGTGCTAGTTGCACAGGAAGCCCATACACACCAATGGATAGAACAGGATCCAGAACTAACCCCTCACATGTTTGGTCAACTGGTTTTCTGCAAAGGTGCTAAGACCATTCAAAGGGGAAAGGACAATCTTTTCAATAAAAGGTGTTAAAAACACACACACATACAAAACACACACATAAAAAAGGAAATTGAACCTTTCCTTACACCACATACAAAAATTCACTAAAAGTGAATATAAATTTAAGAGCTAATACTATAAGACTCTTAGAAGGAATAGTTTTTCCTAAGTGTGACACCAAAAGCACAAGCAAAAAAAGAAAACAAAACAGATAAATTGGGACTTCATCAAAACTCCATCAAAGGACACTATCAAGAGTAAAAAGACAGGGGCGCCTGGGTGGCTTAGTCAGTTAAGCGTCCGACTTTCGCTTAGGTCATGATCTCGCAGTTCGTGGGTTCGAGCCCCATGTCGAGCTCTGTGCTGACTGCCAGCTCAGAGCCTGGAGCCTGTTTCAGTCTGTGACTCCCTCTCTCTCTGACCCTCCCCTGCTCACCCTGTCTCTCTCTCTCTCTCTCCTAGAAATAAATAAAACACTACAAAAAAAATTAAAAAAAAAAGAGTAAAAAGATAATCCACAGAATGGGAAAAATATTGCAAATCATGTATCTAATAAGGGATAATAACCAGGAAACAGAAAGAATTCCTATGTGTCAACAACAACAGAAAACAGACCATTTAGGGGCACCTGGGTGGTCCAGTTGGTTGAGCATCTGACTCTTGATTTCAGCTCAGGTCATGATCCCAGGGTTATGGGACTGAGTCTTGCATCAGGCTCCTTATTAAGCATGGAGTCTGCTTGGGATTCTCTCTTGTTCTCTGCCCCTCCCCCACTTGCACCCTTTCTCAAAATAAACATTTCAAAAAAAAAAAAAAAGAAGTTCAAAATTATCAGTCATTAGGGAAATGCAAATCAAGACAACAGTGAGATACCATTTCACACCTAGTAGGATGGTTATTATTAGAAAATGGAGGGGCACCTGGGTGCCTCAGTCAGTTAAGTGTCCGACTTCGGCTCAGATCATGATCTCATGTTTCGTGAGTTCGAGCCCTGTCGGGCTCTGTGCTGACAGCTCAGAGCCTGGAGTCTGCTTCATGTTCTGTATCTCCCTCTCTCTGACCCTCCCCTGCTCACGCTGTCTCTCTTTCTCTCTCAGAAATAAAAACATTTAAAAAAAGTATTAGAAAATGGAAAATAAGTGAGGTGCCTGGTGGCTCTGCAGGCTGAGTGTCTGCCTTTAGCCCAGGTCATGTTCTCATAGTTCCTGGGTTCGAGTCTCACACTGGGCTTTGCGCTGATAGCACAGAGCCTGCTTTGGATTCTGTCTCCTTCTCTCTCTGTCCCTCCCCACCCCTGCTCTGCCACGTGCACAGTCTTTCTCAAAAATAAATAAAAATTGCTCTTAAAAATGGAAAGTAAGTGTTGGTGAGGATGTAAAACCGTGGAACCCTCAAGAGTTCATGGGAATGAAAAATGGTACAGCTGCTATAGAAAACGGTTTGGTGGTTCCTCAAAATGTGGAACACAAAATCAATATATGATTCATCAACTCCGCTCCTAGGTATATACCGCAAAGGACTGAAAATAGGGACTCAAACAGATACCCGTATATCAATATTCATTGTAGCATTATACACAATAGCCAGGTTAAAAAAAAAAAAAAAAAAGGCTAGTGACCATCAAGAAATGAATGCACAAACTAAGTGTGGCACATACAATGGAATACTATTTAGTCATGAAAGGGAATAAAGGTTAATATATCTTACAACACAGATGAACCTTGAACAGATTATGCTAAGTGAAATAAAGCCAAACACAAAAGGATAAATATCATGTGACTATTTTAATGAAGTACCCAGAACAGGCAAATGCAGAGACAGGAAGTAGATTAGAGGTAACGAAGGGCTGGAGGAAGGAAAATGGGGAGTTACTGCTGAATGGGTAGGGCTTCTGTTTGGGATGACAAAAAGTTCTGGATAGACAGTGGTGACAGCTGTACAACATTCTTAATGAACTGTGGCATTAATTCCACTCAACTGTACACTTAAAAATGGTTAAAATAGTAAAATTTGCTATGCATGTTTTAACCACCATTAAAAAAATAATGATATAGCTCTATATTACTACTGTGAACCCACCTCCAAAATATACTGATAAATGAAAAAAGCAAGATGCAGAACAAAGGGGTAAGAAGCGGATTATAGGTAAAGACACATTTGTAAATGCTCGGACATCTCAGAAAGCTATTAACTAGTAACAGTGATCTAACATCTAGGGAACCAAATGCTTAGAGGACTGAGAGGGAAGAAGACTTATTTTTCACCACTTTTATACCTGTTGGATTTTATGCTATGTATGTATATTACCTAGCCTTATTATTATTTTTTTAATTGACAAAAAGTGTTGGTTCTTCAAAGTCACAGTCCAGTGTGGATTACTGCCACGGGAGGGCACTAAAAATACAAAAGAGCTATGAGCTATGACTGCAACCTCATCTCCTGTTTTAGTCCCTTTGACTTTCTCAGCGAAAGGTGTCCACAAACGAAAGCAAGCCCAGGTGAAGTTCACATTAGAAGCAGATGCTCCTTAGGAAACAAAGTAATTCTGTGTCCCCTCAGCACTCATTACAGAACCTGAAGAGCTTTTGTTAGTTCCACAGTCAGTTGATTACAGACCCATTTCTACCCTAATAGCCTAAGCTCCTTGAGGGTAGAAGTTCTAATATACTTACCATTTCAGTGCTTGGTACACAGTAGGCACATAATGTTGGTGGTGAGAAAAGAATGAGTAAGTGCTCAACTATGGCTGTGTACTTGATTTCTATTAGTACACAGGCTAGAATAATTTTGTACAGCGAATTTCAATTTTAAAAAAGTTTAAAGGCTTAAAGGTCTCTCAGTACACTGCCTGTTACCTGGATGTGACTGCTGGCTTCATGCTGTTTGCTAAACGCCAGCATGCTCAGGATATAGAACAGTTTTCGTATCTGCCGAGGGGACATATTATCCAGATAATCTAAAATGCCCTGTGAGGAAAAAAATGCCCAACAGTAAGGTCAGCAGCAAATACTTTCTTGCTTCAAATAAAAAAATTAAAATCCTTGTAAGAAGCATAGACAGCCAGGCATTCATTCCATAAAAGCTCAACTTCTCTCAAGCTGTGCTCAGGTCCCAAAGGGTTAGTAATCCTAACATACCTCCTAGGTCTTTCTACTTTTCTCCGCCCTTTCCTTCTTCTCAGTGAAAACAATACTCTGACACAAGTTATATCACTGTGTCAGCTTATCAGCTTCCACTCCATGAATTACTTATTCATTCTCTACACATGTGGAAGAGAGTCACAAGGGAACTAATTACTTTTTGACCTTGAGCAAAACCTCAGTTTTCTCATCCCTAATATGGGGCTAACACGGCCTATATAGTTACCTTTCAAAGCGCTGATGTGATTATGTCAAATCCTTGTTAAAAGCCTGTAATAGCTCTCTATGGTCTATAAAATAGTGGGGAGCTTACTTGGAATTCTCTCTTCTCTCTCTGTCCCTACCCAACTCATGCTCTCTCTCTCTCTCTCTCTCAAAAATAAACAAACTTAAGGGGCGCCTGGGTGGCTTAGTCGGTTAAGCGTCCGACTTTCGCTTAGGTCATGATCTCGCGGTTCGTGGGTTTGAGCCCCGCGTCGGGCTCTGTGCTGACTGCCAGCTCAGAGCCTGGAGCCTGTTTCAGATTCTGTGTTTCCCTCTCTCTCTGACCCTCCCCTGCTCACACTGTCTCTCTCTCTCTCTCTCTCCTAGAAATAAATAAAAATATTAAAAAATAAATAAATAAATAAACTTAAAAAAAAAAAAAAGCTGAAACTCTTTAGTGTCGTATTTGAGACACTTTATAATCTTGCCCTGTCCTATGTCTTCCCAGCCTCACCTCCCAACACCTCTCACCATTTTATCCTGTTCGCCAACCATGTTAGTCTACTTGTCATCCACGTATACTAAAGACCTGGCTGCCAGTTTGCTTCTGTTTGAACTGCTCTCTGCCTAGATGCACTTCCTTTATTTTCCCCTACCAAATCATTCCCAACTTTTAAGAATCACTGAAATCTATTCATTGAAGAAATAGCCAGTTTCCCAGGCCAAGTTAATTTTCTTGCTTTGGTATATCTATAGCACTTTATCTTTCTAGAGATTTCTCACACATTTACAGTGACTTGCTTATGTACAGTTTTACTATCACCAAAGAAAGGCAAGAACTAAGTTTTATATACAGAGCACCCCGAATAAAGCCTGCACACAGGCATAAAGAAGTATTTGCTGAACGCATTAATACATACATAAAAGAGTCATTTTTTTCTATTATTTGCCCACCACCTCATCTCTTTCCCATCTCCTCCTACTAATTACAGCAGTTAATATCTAGAATACAAATTGTTACTAATGGATTCCAGATAACTCTCAGATACATGCAAGAAAGATAAATGACTCAATGTACATCCCCGGAGGGACTAGATACCTTCACAAAGACGGCATGCAGCCTCATGGCAGATAGGTTTAGAACTACCAAATCGAGGAGGGCATCCAAAGCAGTATCCACTTCAGCTTCGTTCCCACTGCAGATATGGGTCACTAGGGCGCCAACCACTTCCTATAAAGGGCAAGAAACAGTGTGAAAAAAATATGACTGAAACCATTATGACTCAGGTTTATGCCTGAGATCATTCCGATCTCAACTTGGTTAAAATCCCAACCTACTCTATCCTGTTGTCTAATTCTATAATGTACTTTTCATTCATGCTGGATTCAGACATTTAGGATTATGCCACTCTAACTATAGTACCATCTACTCTTGACTTATTTCCCAAAATTTATCAGTGAGCACTATCTAAGCCCTCCTGATTTTGCTCCCTGTCATAGTCTTTCCCTTTCCTTTCTCAGATGGGTTAAATACTACCCTTGAAGCTATGATTGTACTTAATCTATTAAAACTTATTAATAAGATGGAACTTAGGGCGCCTGACTGGCTCAGTTGGTGGACTCCTGATCTTGCAGTTGTGGGTTCAAATTCCATGTCAGGTACAGAAATTACTTAAAAATAAAATCTTAGGGCTCATGGGGGGCTCAGTAATTAAATGTCCAACTTTGGTTCAGGTCAGGATCTCATAGCTTGTAAGTTCGAGCCTCATATCAGACTCTGTGCTGACAACTCAGAGCCTAGAGCCTGCTTTGGATTCTGTGTCTCCGTCTCTCTCTGCCCTTCCCCTGCTCACTCCATCTTGCACTTTCTTTCTCAAGAATAAACATTAAAAAAAAATTTTAAAATAAAAATAAAATTAAAAAAAAAAACAGATGGAATTCAAAGAGCTAAAGGATTCTAAGATTTTTATAGGTTAGACTTGTATGTTTCAAGCATCCATGTGTCATGACAATATCTCTAAGACATTAAGATGGTTCCAAACAAAATACCTTACATGCCATTCTCCCTTTCCTTTATGCTGCTGCTCCACAGTCATATGATTTTCTCAAGTGCAGTAGCCAATTCATGCCAGCTGAACCTATTGTTCTGCTTTAAGATTCTTAAAATTTTGTCTTTGTTTTTACAAGTTCCATTCAAATGTTTTAACACTATTAACAGTTAAGTACAGCACATACAAAAAATACATAGTAAGAGACTCTGTTCTTTGTTTTCATAATCCTTCCCAACTTTCCACAAGTAAGTGTTCCCTCCCTAGGCCTGTGCTATTAAGTTTTGTGTCTCATGTTCATGGGCACAGTATTATGTCCTCCGGTATTTCTCCTTCAGTTGTTTTTCATCACAATTTTTTTCTAAACAACAACTTCAGGATCAACTAGCAGTTGATTATTTGCAGCTAAGTTCTAAAACTGCTCTTTCTGGGGCGCCTGGGTGGCTCAGTTGGTTAAGCGTTCGACTTCGGCTCAGGTCATGATCTCACGGTTCATAGGTTTGAGCCCCACATTGGGCTCTGTGCTGACAGCTAGCTCAGAGCCTGGAGCCTGTTTCAGATTCTGTGTCTGCCTCTCTCTCTGACCCTCCCCTGCTCACGCTGTCTCTCTGTCTCTCAAAAATAAATTAACAACAACAAAAAAAAAACAATAAAAAAAATAAAATGAAACTGCTCTTTCTGTACTATGAAAAGTGACTGACAACACCAACCTTTTCAGCCAAAGTGTACTTTAAATAGACTAGGTGGGACCTTCATTTTAACTCAGAGAATTCTGAGCTCAAAACGCAGAGTTAGATCCTCCAGTCTGGTCACTTCATTTTTTTTAAAGTAGGACTACAGCTTAGTTTCCCCAACTCCCAGTTCAGAATATTTTCTCCATCAATCCCTTCCAGCCAACAAGAAATAAATATCAGGGGTGCCTGGGCGCTCAGTCGGTTAAGCGTCCGACTGGCTCAGGTCATGATCTCATGGTTCGAGATTCGAGTCCCGTGTTGGGCTCTGTGCTGACAGCTCAGAGCCTGGCGCCTGCTTCAGATCTGTGTCTCCCTCTCTCTCTGCTCCTCCCCTGTTCATGCTCTGTCTCCCTCACTCTCAAATAAATAAATAAATAAATAAACACTAAAAAAATAAAATAAAGTAAACATCATATCACATGCAAGTCACTTGAAATTGCATTTCTTCCTGTTCCGTTCCCTCCTTTCCAAAATAAATATTTCAACATACCTGCTGGCAGTATGTGTCAAAAAACTTAAATGCGTGTTTGTAGAGGAGACTGCCAAACAAAATGATACTCTCGTCTAAGGAGTGCAACAAACTTTGAGCCAGCGACAGAATGGATGGACAAATATCCTTAAGGACCTTAAGGGGAAAAGAGAAGAGGGGGGGAAAAAAAAAGAGGCTGTGGGAGGAATTTAGTTATCACAGAACCAAGAGTTGCTAAGTCTTATAGGATGTCAGAGTTCTCCTGACCAACTCTCATTTTAACTTAAGGAATCTTAATCTTTGTTTTACTCGTAATTATCCGTCATCATTGAGTCTTCTCTCAGGACTGGTAGTATTTGACGTATGGAAAAATACTGACCTGGAAGCTCAAAGAAGTTAAATCATAAGGCAAACAGCATTGTTCCTATCTGCCCAATTTGGGACTAGAATCCTGATGTTCTAAATCCCAATTTCCTCACTCAATCATACTGCCTCCCTGGGCCTGCTCTGCCTTGCTTATGATTTAAAATCAAAATATATATTCCAAAAAATAGAAATCAAGGGAAAACTTTCAGACTCATTTTATGAAGCCAGCATCATTCTGATTCCCAGATCCAGTAAAATCAAAATATAAAGTTCAACACTAATTAAACTGATTTCTTTTAAAGAAGATCAAAAAGAGAACTGATCATGTCTTACCAATAAGGCAGAAAATGGACATTAGTGGACCCAAAGTAAATAACCAGTTTAAGTCTAGCTTATACCATCACAATAAAAAAATATCTTAAATTAAGCACTAAATTGGGTATAACACTTTGCTGAGGAAAATGCAATAAAAAATTACTTATGGTTTCTGCCTTCTAGAAAACTATAGCCCAAAACACGTATCGTTGCCAGAAATAAGCACAGAAAAGACTGTAAGATAAAATAACAGGGGCACCTGGGTGGCTCAGTCAGTTGAGCGTCCGACTTCAGCTCAGGTCATGATCTCACAATTTGTGGGTTCGAGCCCTGCATCGGGCTCTGTGCTGACAGCTCGAAGCCTGTAACCTGCTTCAGATTCTCTGTCTCCTTTTCTCTCTGCCCCTCCCCCACTCATGCTCTGTCTCTCTCCGTCTTTCAAAAATAAATAAATGTAAAAAAAAATTTTTTTTAAAGGTAAAATAACACAAACACTAAATCTGGTCTTAAATAGTCAATCTTAAGACTCAACTGCATATTCTCATTAGTTCCTAAGCCAAGCCCCAAACCACTGGGTACACAGTTTTCTAAGAAGGTACACACTGTTTATATCCTGAAAATTTACTTAGAAACACCATTCCTAACTTACAAAATTCCAATTTGAAAGGTTTTTATTTCAACAGGAATAATCACCCAAGGGTCACAGGACTGAATGGCCAAATAGTGACGGTTTAAGAGATGCACAATTATGTCTCTATTAGCATTCCTCTGGTCCTGTTATGCTCAGGGTTTTTAAAAACTGCTTATGGGGCACCTGAATGGCTCAGTTGGTTAAGCTTCTGACTCTTGATTTTGGCTCAGGTCATGATCTCACAGTTTGTGAGTTCAAGCCCCACACTGGACTCTTCACTGACAGAGTAGAGCCTGCTTGGGATTCTGTATCTTGCTCTCTGCCCCTCCCCTGCTTGTGCTCTCTCTCAAAAGGTAAATAACTATTTAAAAACTGCTTAGAACAGGATACAGAAGTCAAGTTTGTCAAAGCTACAGATCACAAAGAGCTTGACAATTAAAATGATTAATGCAAAATTAAGATTCAAAAGTCTCAATACACTTGAACAAAGGGCTGAAACAAGATGAAATTTTTATATAGGAGCTGTAGAGTCTTCAATTTCAGGTTAAAGATCAAGTTATAGAAGGATGTAATTAGAAGACTTGAACTAGGGGCACCTGGGTGGCTCAGTCAGTTAAACTTCTGACTTCAGCTCAGGTCATGATCTCATGGTTCGTGAGTTTGGGCCCCACTTCGGGCTCTGTGCTGACAGCTCAGAGCCGGGAGCCTGCTTCAGATATTGGTCTCCCTCTCTCTCTGCCCCTCACCCCCCCCCCCAAAAAAAATAAATAAACATTAAAAACAAAAAGAAGACTTGAACTAGGGGCACCTGGGTGGCTCAGTCAGTTAAACTTCTGACTTCAGCTCAGGTCATGATCTCATGGTTCGTGAGTTTGGGCCCCACTTCGGGCTCTGTGCTGACAGCTCAGAGCCGGGAGCCTGCTTCAGATATTGGTCTCCCTCTCTCTCTGCCCCTCCCCCCCCCCCCCAAAAAAAATAAATAAACATTAAAAACAAAAAGAAGACTTGAACTAAAATATTTCCTATAAAACAGAATTTGGAGTTGGAGTTTAAAAAGTTCAGTATAAACCAATTTTGTGACTTTTTCCCTAAAAAGATGAGACGCCAGTCTTAGGTTGGTCTTATTCACATCATATTGTCTCAATCAAGGTAAGTACTAATCCTACTGTTTTACAATATATTGAGCTGTCAAAGATCAACATCCAGGGGCGCCTGGGTGGCTCAGTCAGTTGGGCGTCCGACTCGACTCAGGTCATGATCTCATGGTTCATGGGTTCGAGCCCCACATTGGGCTCTATGCTGAGAGCTAGCTCAGAGCCTGGAGCCTGCTTCGGATTCTGTGTCTCCCTCTCTCTGACCCTCCCCTGTTCATGCTGTCTCTCTCTCTCTCAGATATAAATAAAACATTAACAAATAAATAAATAAAAACACTGCTATAATTCATTTAAAAAAAAAAAATCAACATCCAGTAAAGGTAGTATTGTCAAGATTCCCACACTGGGCAGGAAAGGTTAAAAATGACTTCTCTATAACTTTCAGACTAACGTTGTCTGATTCTCTGGTACTTACCAAGAAATGAATACAGAATGTACTCTGTAGCAGCTGTTCTTCAAAGCAGCCTGATCGAACCTTATTTCTTAGCACCCTCTCAACATACTTCTTGGTCTGAGTGTTGGTGCTATAGATGATGAAAAGTATCACCAAGTCAAAAGTCTATTATCAATAAAAATGACAAAAGAGAAATAGTTTACTTATCAGTACTTCTATTTTCATAAAATAGTAGCTCTCAACTTTTTCCCACAAAAATAGAATGGGTGATACTCATTTGTTCAACATACTCCATGGCAGTATCTACATTTCCTCCCCTCACAAAAACCACAAATATTTTTCAGAGAAATGAACTGCCACAACTCTTAACCACTGATATCTTTTATGAAATCATTGGAAGGTAAGTTGAAGTGATATTACAGAAATAACCCTGAATATCTTCACATTACTTGCCAACCTCAGTATGTATTTCATTGTCAGAAATATACTTTCTCAAAAGTTGGAGACTGTAAATGACTGTCAATATGAAAAAAATTAAATTCTTTTCTTAAATTTAAATTAAATTAAAATTTTGGGGCACATGGGTGACTTAGTCAGTTAAGCATCCCACTTCGGCTCAGGTCATGATCTCATGGTTTGCAGGTTTGTGGGTTCAAGCCCCACATTGGGCTCTGTGCTGACAACTCAGAGCCTGGAGCCTGCTTCGGATTCTGTGTCTCCCTCTCTCTTTGCCCCTTCCCAACTTGGGCTCTCTCTCTCTCAAAAATAAATAAACATTAAAAAAATTTTAAATTACATTAAATTCTTAAATTTAAATTAAAAAAATTAAATTCAGAATATGACACAGCTATTAAAAAGAACAAGGTACACTATATTTTTTTAAAATTTTTAAATGTTTATTTTTGAGAGTCAGAGAGAGATGGCATGAGCAAGGGAGGGTCAGAGAGAGAGGGAGATACAGAATCTGAAACAGGCTCCAGGCTCTGAGCTAGCTGTCAGCACAGAGCCTGATGCGGGGCTCAAACCCACGAACTGTGAGATCATGACCTGAGCTGAAGTCGGACGCTTAACCAACTGAGCTACACAGGCGCCCCTACATTTTTTGACAGACATTCATGCCGTCGTAAAGTTAAAAAAAAGCAAGCAATGTGTAAGACAATAGTCATAAAAGGATTTTTCTTTTTTTACTCTTTTAATGTTTATTTTTGATAGAGATAAAATGTGAGTTGGAGAGGGGCAGAGAGAGACAGACACAGAAGCTGAAGCAGGATCCAAGATCTGAGGCATCATCACAGAGCCCAACATGGGGCTCGAACTCACACCGGCACTCACACATGTATAACCTTGTATATAAATAGGAAAAAGCCTGTAAGAATAATTATCCATGAAAAATGGAACAGACGGTAAAGGGAAACTTTATTTTATTTATTTATTTACTTACTTACTTGAGAAAGAGAGAGCATGCAAACGAGTTGGGGGCAGAGGGGAAGACCAGTAGAGACAGAGTGAAATCCTAACCAGGATCCACACTGTCATCACAGAGCCTGACCCAGGGCTTGAACTCACAAACCATGAGATCATGATCTGAGATAAAATCAAGAGTTGGACATTTAACCAACTGAGCCAGCCAGGGGCCCCAGGGAAAGTTTATTTTTAACATTTTTAGATTCTCCCCAGTTTTGTCCTCCTTATTAGCTTGAATTTACTACATTTTGGGGGAAAAAAGGTTAAAGGGGCCAATATCCTGAAAATTCACCTAGAAACACCAATCCTAGCTTACAAAATTCCAATTCAAAAGGTGTTTATTTCAACAGGAATAATCACCCAAGGGTCACAGCATTGAATGGCCAAATAGTGATGGTTCAAGAGATGCATAATTATGGCTCTATTACCATTCTTCTGGTCCTGTTATGCTCAAGGTCTTTAAAAATCCTGCTTATGGGACGTCAAACTGCTCTTTCTGTACTATGAAAGCTGTGTGATAACCCCAGCCCTTTCAGCCAAGGTTTAGAAGAGCAAGTGACTCATAATCTTGGGGTTGTTGAGTTCAAGCCTCACATTGGATGTAGAGATGACTTTAAAGAAAAAAAAAAAAAGATTAAAAAAGTCAAGCTGGACAAAAAAAAATCTACACAGAACTCCTACAACTCAAGAGCAAAAGCTCAGGGCGCCTGGGTGGCTTAGTTGGTTAAGCGTCCGACTTTCACTTAGGTCATGATCTCACGGTTCATGGGTTCGAGCCCCGCGTCGGGCTCTGTGCTGACTGCCAGCTCAGAGCCTGGAGCCTGTTTCAGAGTCTGTGACACCCTCTCTCTCTGACCCTCCCCTGCTCATGCTGTCTCTCTGTCTCTCTCTCTCTCCCAGAAGTAAATTTAAAAAAATTAAAAAAAAAAAAAAGAGCAAAAGCTCAATCAAAAGATGGACTGAGGATGTGGACAGTTTTTTGAAGACATACTAATGGCCAACAGACACATGAAAAGATGCTCAACATCACTAATCATCAGGCAAATGCAAATCAAAACCGCAATGAGGTTATTACCTCACCCCTGTCAGAATGCCAACATTAGTGGCACCTGGGTGGCTCAGTCAGTTAAGTGTCCGACTTCGGCTCAGGTCATGATTTCGTGGTTCGTGAGTTCGAGCCCCGTGTTGGGCTCTGTGCTGACAGCTCAGAGCCTGGAGCCTGCTTCGGATTGTGTGTCTCTCTCTTTCTCTGACCCTCCCCTGCCCACACTGTCTCTCTCTCTCTCAGAAATAAATAAAATATTAAAAAAAAAAAGACAAGAGATAACAAGTGTTGGCGAGGATGTAGAGAAAGAGAACCTTTGAGTACTGGTGGTGAAATGTGAATGGTGCAGCCATTGTAGAAAAAGTATAGAGCTTCCTCAAAAAATTAAAAATAGAACTACTATACAACCCAGAAATTCTACTCTGGGTATTTATTCAAAAAACCAGAAATACTAATTCAACAAGATAGTATCTACACTCTATGATCCCTGCACATTATTTACAATAACCAAGATGTAGAAGCAACCTGAGTGTCCACTAATGGATGAGTGAGAAAAGAAAATGTGGTATGTACACATGTGTACAAACATAAACACACACTGGAATATTATTCAACCATAAAAAGAATGAAATCTTGCCATTTGCAACAATATGGACAGAATTTTTTTTTTAAGTTTATTTATTTTGTGCAGGGGAAGGACAGAGAGAGGGAGAGAGAGAATCCGAAGCAGGCTCTGCACTGACAGTGTGTAGCCTGACACAGGGCTCAAACTCACCAACGAGGAGATCATGACCAGAGCCAAGATCAAGAGGTGGACACTAACTGACTGAGCCACCCACATGCCTCAATATGAACAGATCTTGAGGGCATTCTGCTAAGTGAAATAAATCAGACAGAAAGACAAATATCTTATGATGTCATAAAAAAAAAACAAAATACACAGAAAACCAAGTTCATTGATAGAACAGATTGAGGGTTGCCAGAAGTAGAAGGTGAGGCAAAATGGGTGAAAGGGAGGGATACCTGACTGGCCCAGTCAGTAGAGAGTGCAACTCTTGATTTCTGGGCTGTAAGTCTGAGCCTCACATTGGATGTAGAGATTACTTAAAAATAAAATCTTTTTTTAAGTTTATTCATTTAATTAGAGAGAGAGCATGTGAGGTTGTGTGCTAAAATGTGTGCACACTCTAGCGAGCAGGGAAGGGGCAGAGAGGGAGAGAAAGAATTCCAAGCAGGCTCCACACTCAGCAGGGAGCCCAATGCAGGGCTCCATCTCACGACTCCAGGATCACGACCTGAGCCAATATCAAGAGTCGAAGGCGGCTTACCGAGTCTCCAAGGTACCCCTAAAAATAAAATCTTTAAAAAAAAATGGGTGAGGGGGATCAAAAGGTACAAATTTCCAGTTATAAAATAAATAAGTCATGGCGATGTTATGTTTGGCATGGTGACTATACTTAATAACACTGTATTGCACAGAAGTTGCTATGACAACAGATCTTAAAAATTCTCATCATAAGAAAAAGTATGTAACTATGTGGTAACTAGAATTATTGTGGTGAGCATTTTGCAATATATATGAATGTTGAATCATTATATTGTATACCTAATACTAATGTTATATGTCAATTATATCTCAGAAAAAGACATTTTAATAAAAGATGTTTACAGTAAAAAAAATTACTCGGGACATCCCTTCACTGAAGGTCCAATTCATTCACACACCAAGATTGAGAATCACTGTATTAGAATACAGCTATTGAAAATGACATAAAAGGGCACCTGGGTGGCTCAGTCGGTTAAGCAGCCAACTTTAGCTCAGGTCATGATCTCACAGTTCATGGGTTCGAGCCCCGTGTCTGGCTCTGCGCTGACAGCTAGCTCAGAGACTGAAGCCTATTTCAGATTCTGTATCTCCCTCTCTCTCTGACCCTCCCCTGCTCACGCTGTCTCTCTCTCTCTCTCAGAAATAAATTTGTAGGGGCGCCTGGGTGGCTTAGTCGGTTAAGCATCCGACTTTCGCTTAGGTCATGATCTCGCGGTTCGTGAGTTCGAGCCCCGTGTCGGGCTCTGTGCTGACTGCCAGTTCAGAGCCTGGAGCCTATTTCAGAGTCTGTCAGAGTCTCTCTCTGACCCTCCCCTGCTCACGCGTGCTCTCTCTCTCTCCTAGAAATAAATAAAAATATTAAAAAAAATAAAAATAAATTTTTAAAATGACATAAAGACAATGTACAAGTATATAAAATGTTTATGACATGTCAAGAGAAAAAATTCAGGATATAAAATTATATTTAAATAATAATTACATATCTGTAAAAACGGGTATGCCAAGGGTTATGCAAAAATAAAAATAGTTGGGGCATCTTGGTGTCTCAGTTGGTTAAGTGTCCGACTTCAGTGCAGGTCATGATCTCATGGTTTGTGGGTTTGAGCCTCACAGTGGGCTCTGTGCTGACAGTGTGGAGCCTGCTAGGGATCCTCTCTCTCTCTCTCTCTCTCTGCCCCTCCACACCCTCAAACTATATAAATAAAGTTAAAAAAAAAGAAAAGATAATCTTAAAAAAAATAAAAACAGTTGTGTTGGGGTATTTTGATCCCTCCCCTACAAAAAAATATTTTTTCACTATTTTGTTTGATATCATAAAAGCTTTTAAAATGTCAAGGAACAATTAGATAATGTAACAAAACCCCACAAAACCAGATTCCAGCTAAAAGAAAAATCCTTAATGGGAATCAATTAGTACATAAGAAACTCAATTATCTGGCTTCTTGACAGACGAAAAAAATCCATAATTAAGATAGATTCAGTATCACTGTCCTGACAGTGAATGGATGGACTATTTGATTCACTCTGGTAATGGTGACATGAGCAAAGGAAAGGAAAACACAGAATGCCATTACCTTGACAATTCCATTTGGTAGAAGGAAGAGTAATCTGATAGATACAGCGACCTGACTCACGCCCCAGGTGACTCCTGTCTTCACTTCATCCATGGGGACTTGGCTTCTTGGGACTGTAACTCACTATGTATGTATGGAATGTTAACATTTCCCCCATGGATAGTTAAGGTTTATTTTATTGGCCAAATGAGTAGGAAAGACCATCTGGCAAGCATCCCCCCTCAGATTATCTTCCCCAGACAGCTAATGATTAGAGCAGCTAAAGAAGGCACACAAGGGATGACTGGAGAGAGCGAAAGGAAAGAGGGAAGGAAAACTAGCTATGATCATTAGTTTCAACTCTGTAGCACTTAAAAGTCACAGTACGTGAATATTACCTTGTGTTCAGACTCTGAGGAAGTGTTTTCAATTGCCTAGAAACAGAAGGGTCACAAAAATATTATGACACGTAAGTAGAACATGTTTCACCTTATTCAGCATGCCTTGTTTTCTTACTGGAGAACCAGTCTGCCCATGGGGCAACCGTCTTCTATCATGTCTACTTGACTGACTTTTAACACTTTTATTTCCACCTTTACTTACTTATCTGTCACTGATTGCCACCTACTTTCTCCTTAATGTTCAAAGTCACAAAGATTTCACTCACCTTAATCCAGGCTTCCGAAATGATTTTCTCATATTTAACAGCTGACTTTATCACATCAAAGAAGAGAGTAACACAGTCCTGACTGCTGGTTTCTTGATTTCCTGAAGAACTACAAGTAGCAAAAGGGAGGAAAAAATCATTCTTCTACTAACCAGAGAGGGCCCTATAAGATCTGGGTTCCTGTTCACTAGCCATGTGCCTGTTCCAAGGCACAACTTCATGTTGTGGCTAATAACTTTGCAATAAATTTGTACTGCAGTCTACCTAGGATTGATTTAAACAACCAGAATAATACACCCAACCCACCCATGATACATGTACACACACATTACATGTACCATGTACACAGGATTTGAAACATTGTATAGTTTCAAATGTAGTATAATACATGTGAACAACATTACTACCATTATTTGTAGTTTCAAGTATTAAGATCTACTGTCCTGGCTTCAGGATAAATGCCAGAAAACTTTCCTTGACTATGTGAGGAAAAGGGTGGGAGGTGTTGACATTATACCTTTGTCGTCCTTTATTTTTCAACTTGCTTTGGGAAGCCTGAAACAACGATGGCAAAATAAAATGCTGCAGATCCAACTTCTCCCGCAGCTCAGAAATTACCTGTGGAAAATAAATATTAAGCTGTATGTTCTGCTCTTTCATACTGGATAGACCCAGTTCATTCCTTCAACAGAACCATAACAAACTCCTGAAAGACTAAGACAAATTACTAAATATTAGACAACACATTTTGAAAAGGAGAGTTGATGAAAATAGCTAATACAAGGATAGTATGTCAAGCCCTTCAAAATCCCAGAATTCCTTTACGTATTATACTGAAATAGCAAATACAATCTGTAGCAACATATATGCAACAATAAATCTGTTTCCATTCTATCCCCTGAATACTACTGGATTAATCAGCATTATCAATTAGTTTGGGGACAGAGAAGAGCAATTAAAAACTATCAGTTTAGGGGCACCTGGGTGGCTTAGTCGGTTAAGCGTCTGACTTTCGCTTAGGTCATGATCTCGCGGTTCGTGGGTTCGAGCCCCGCGTCGGGCTCTGTGCTGACTGCCAGCTCAGAGCCTGGAGCCTGTTTCAGTCTGTGACTCCCTCTCTCTCTCACCCTCCCCTGCTCACGCTATCTCTCTCTTTCTCTCCT